CCTGCTGGAAGGTGAATTCATCTCCCAGTGTCTGGTGGAAAGCAGATTGAATCAGGTTTTCCTCTAGGATTTTTCCTGTACTTAGCTCTATTCTGTTTCTTTTTTATCCTGGAACAATCCCCAGTCCTTAACAATTACAAGCATACTCATAACATGATGCAGGCACCACTATGCTTGAAAATATGGAGAGTGGTACTCAGTAATGTGATGTATTTGCCCCAAACATAACACTTTGTATTCAGGACAAAAAGTTAATAGCCTTGCCACATTCTTTGCAGTATTACTTTAGTGCCTCGTTGCAAACAGGATGCATGTTTTGGAATATTCCTTTTCACTCTGTCAATTTGGTTAATATTGTGGAGTATCTACAATGTTGATCCATCCTCAGTTTTCCCCTATCACAGCCATTAAACTCTGTAACTGTTTTAATGTCACCATTGGCCTCATGGTGAAATCCCTGAGCGGTTTCCTTTCTCTCCAGCAACTGAGTTAGGAAGGACGCCTGTATCTTTGTAATGACGGTGTATTGATACACCATCCAAAGTTTAATTAATATCCTCACATGCTCAAAGGGATATTCTCCTTTTTTTTACCCATCTACCAATAGGTGCCCTTCTTTGCAAGGTAATGGATAACCTCCCTGGCCTTTGTGGTTGAATCTGTGTTTGAAATTCACTGGTCGACTGAGGGACCTTACAAATAATTGTATGTGTGGGGTACAGAGATGAGGTAGTCATTAAAAATCAAGTTAAACACTATTATTGCGCACAGAGTGAGTCCATGCATCTTGTTATGTGACTCTTTAAGCAAATGTTTACTCCTGAACTTATTTAGGCTTGCCATAACAAAGGGTTTGAATATTTAGTCAAGACATTTCAGCCTTTCATTTTGAAATAATTTGTTAAAAAAATGTAAAACATAATTCCACTTTGATATTATGGGGTATTGTGTGTAGGCCAGTGACAACAAATATCAATTTAATCCCATGTTAAATTCAGGCTGTAACACAACAAAATGTGGAAAAAGTCAAGGGGTGTGAATACTTTCTGAAGGCACTGTATGTGCACCACGTCATTGATCTCTCGCTCTGCTGTGTGTGCATCTTGCTAGCTGTCACTCAAATGGCGAGGGGCTGAAGCTCATTAGCTAGAACTCAAATTGATAGGGGGCTGGCCCACGTGGGGGAAAATGGCACAGCACAGCTTCCAGAAAGTCTCTTTCAAACTAGGGATTTCGTGGCTAATTGGGGTAAGACAGTAATTCTGCATGTATATGAACTACACATTGACACATCCAGCCCAAAGCTGGAGGTAAAAAAAATACTTAGTAGTCGCCAAAGTTCCGGAGGATGTCTTTAACATTTCTATGAAATTACTCAATATGGTCATGATGTTAAGTGTTTTACTGGGCTCTCTCCTCTTTGCTGTGACAGGTAGTAAAGATCATCAGACCCAGTGAGACTGCTGGACAATACATCACCTACAGGCTGGTCCAGTGAGGATTTCAATGTGAGTGTGAATATCTTGATTGCACTGTTAGGGCTGTTTCCTAACCAGTATCTCTATATTGTTAATAATTTCATATGACTACAATACATTCTTTATTCAGATGTAGGGGGATTTTAGTACATTTGAGAAAGTTCATTCTGATACTACTCTTGTTCCTTCACTGTTTGTAAAGAGCAGTGGGTGAACCACCACTGAGCCAATACAACTGTTTACTCATTGATTATTCTATAGCTGGCCTCACATTCCTTTGGATGAAGCGTGGGCTTTTTTTGTTAGTACTTGTTTGTAATTTTGTACAATAAATCTTTAAACAGACATTGTTGGAACAATATACGAATGGAAGTTGTTTACATTGATTGTGTCAAATTTCACATCACACAATTGTTGTTAGAGTAATATGAAGGGGAACACAGTTAATAGATAACCTCAACTGGTGGAGTGCATAACCAGTTTTTACATATGTAGAACTAGAAAGTAGAAATATAAGCCATGGGTGCCATAAATTTGAAAGTGTTAATCTAATGTTCTTAGCAAAGACTTTGATAAATTAACCTGTGATAAATTAACCTGTGTAAGAAGTAAATATCCACATACCTTTTTCCTGAAGTTATCAATCTACTGTAGTGTGTACTGTAGTGTGGGCAGCTCAGACTGAGCTAGGCTCAGTTGGTAGAACATGGCGCTTGCAACGCCAGGGTTGTGGGTTCGATTCCCACGGGGGGCCAGCATGAAAAATGTATGCACTCACTAACTGTAAGTTGCTCTGGATAAGAGCGTCTGCTAAATGACTAGAATGTAAATGTAAAATGTATAGGGCTTGAACAAAATTCTAATGTTGTGACTAATGTTTACCTCAGTGGCCTTACAGGACTAGTATTAAAACAACATTTCCCTAACCAGTGAGAGTTTCCTGATAACTAAACCGGCCTTCATACTTTGCTTAGTGGAGGAAGGTCTCGGTATGAAATGGACAGTGGTCAACTGGCTTGATTTACTTTCTGGTTCCTTCTTCCGTTTTTAATGCCATTCTCTCATTGAACAGTGATGCCGCAATCACACTTAATACTGTAGTTGGTTAGTGCTCATAAGCCTCGTTTACACCTTGCGCTAACATGTGAGTTTCATGATCTGATCAAGGTTTGTCACGTCTACACATTGTATTAAAATGTCTCTTTTCCGCCCACTGTGTCTGCATTGTGATCAGATTAGCTGGTGCCTCCCTGTATGCAAATTATTTGACAATTTCAAAATAATATGTATTTATTTATATTAAGACAATTACTGCCTTAAGTTAATGCTGCTACCACTCAGTGGAGTTTAGAGGCCGGTATAATGATTTAAATGGTTTGACCATTCAGATCTGTTTACACTTGATTGATATCCAGACCAGTGGAGGCTGGTGGGAGGAGCTATAGGAGGAAGGGCTCATTGTAATGTCTGGAATGGAATCAATGGAACGGTATCAAAAATATGGAAACCACGTTTGACTCAGTTCCATTAATTTCCTTGCCTCCCACCAGCCTCGACTGATCCAGACACAATGCATGCCTGACTAACTCGGGAGGTGGTCAGGAAAATCACATCGTCTTAATCGTCTACACCCGTCAAAAAATGTGTGCACAATCAGAATGTGGATAAGATCAGGACAAAGGGTTAGCACCAAGTATTAATGGGCCTATAGGGTTAGCACCAGGTATTAACGGGCCTATAGGGTTAGCACCAAGTATTAATGGGCCTATAGGGTTAGCACCAGGTATTAACAGGCCTATAGGGTTAGCACCAGGTATTAACGGGCCTATAGGGTTAGCACCAGGTATTAACGGGCCTATAGGGTTAGCACCAGTTATTAACGGGCCTATAGTGTTAGCACCAGGTATTAACGGGGCTATAGGGCTAGCACCAGGTATTAATGGGGCTATAGGGTTAGCACCAGGTATTAACGGGCCTATAGGGTTAGCACCAGGTATTAACGGGCCTATAGGGTTAGCACCAGGTATTAACGGGGCTATAGGGTTAGCACCAGGTATTAACGGGCCTATAGGGTTAGCACCAGGTATTAACGGGCTATAGGGTTAGCACCAGGTATTAACGGGCCTATAGGGTTAGCACCAGGTATTAACGGGCCTATAGGGTTAGCACCAAGTATTAACGGGCCTATAGGGTTAGCACCAGGTATTAACGGGCCTATAGGGTTAGCACCAGGTATTAACGGGCCTATAGGGTTAGCACCAGGTATTAACGGGCCTATAGGGTTAGCACCAGTTATTAACGGGCCTATAGGGTTAGCACCAGGTATTAACGGGCCTATAGGGTTAGCACCAGGTATTAACGGGCCTATAGGGTTAGCACCAGGTATTAACGGGGCTATAGGGTTAGCACCAGGTATTAACGGGCCTATAGGGTTAGCACCAGGTATTAACGGGCCTATAGGGTTAGCACCAGGTATTAACGGGGCTATAGGGTTAGCACCAGGTATTAACGGGGCTATAGGGTTAGCACCAGGTATTAACGGGCCTATAGGGTTAGCACCAGGTATTAACGGGGCTATAGGGTTAGCACCAGGTATTAACGGGCCTATAGGGTTAGCACCAGGTATTAACGGGGCTATAGGGTTAGCACCAGGTATTAACGGGCCTATAGGGTTAGCACCAGGTATTAACGGGCTATAGGGTTAGCACCAGGTATTAACGGGCCTATAGGGTTAGCACCAGGTATTAACGGGCCTATAGGGTTAGCACCAGGTATTAACGGGGCTATAGGGTTAGCACCAGGTATTAACGGGGCTATAGGGTTAGCACCAGGTATTAACGGGCCTATAGGGTTAGCACCAGGTATTAACGGGGCTATAGGGTTAGCACCAGGTATTAACGGGGCTATAGTTTCAATGAAATGGCTAAGAGATACAAGGCATAAGTCAGAACATTTATAATAGCATACTCTTTATTACAATACACTGACAAAAAAAAAAGTGAATTCAACCAATAAAGACAAATCCATCCAACATAAGGCAAAATGATACAATTTATAAAGCCAATTTTTGGGGGGGATTTTAGTGCTGAAATAAAACCAGCAGCACTTTAAATACCTGGAATAATTATCTTAGAAATGCATCCCACACAACAATCACACATACAAGAGAAAGATCTCTCACTACTAGACATGCATTATTCAAGCTTTTAAGAGCAATGTAAAAAACTAAATGTTAAAAAAAAGTTTGAAATACAAATTGCCACAGCAATAATCTATAAGGCACTTCTTTTCCAAATTGTTAAGTCACAGCTTGTTATAACTACAATGAATGATGGCAGAAAACAGCTATAACTAAGTGTCCATGAGGGATGTGTCATGTAGTATATTCAATGCTGACATTCTAATACAAAAGCTAAAACCAGGATCCATGGTAACATCCCCACCAAAATAAAGACGTCACCAGACTCTTGAAGTACATATAAAACTTACACTTCATACATCATGCAATTCCAGTAAAGCCTTTCAGTGAGGTTGACACATTGCACAGGTAATGTTTACACAAACTCTGTCTCCCTGTCCCTCGGCAGCAAACTGAGATTTGCTACACACATGGCCCAGAACATAGTTGTTGGACTGATTCATGTTGAGCTCAGCCAGGGAGACGCTCAGCTCCTCCTCAGACACCTCTAGGTCCGGGGGCTCGCTGTCTGGGGGCTCAGGGGGGTCGTGGTCTGAGGCATCGGGACCCTCCTGGTCTTGGTCTGGATCCGGGTCGGTCTGGGGTAGAGACTGGCTGGAGAGTTCCAGACTATCCCTACAGCTCAGTTGGTCATCCTCTGTGCTGACCTCACTCTCCTGTTTGACCAGGCAGTGTGGATGGTGTGTGGACCCCCTCCCAGTCTCATCCAGCTCTGAGTCAGAGTCCACAATCTGCTCACTGGAGCCCAGGGAACCTGGAAAACTGTCTGCATGGAGAAAAAGTGAAGGGCTGTAATGAAGTGGCACTGGTCACCTGGATAAATACAAGTTATAAAGATGTAACTCAAATCAAAAGGCAAAAGTGTAGTAATTCTTATTCAAGTCCATCTAAACATCTCTTACCACAGCCCTCCTCCATCTTGTCAGAGTCTGTTCTGCTCTGTTCCTCATTGGCTTCCTGTTCCTCTCCTTCAGTTACCACGGCACTGCTGCCCTCATCAACATCCACACTGACACTCTGCACCAGCAGTGGGAGACAAACATGAGTTAAAACAGGGAACTTGAGTTCAAACCTTCCAACTCTGGTATTGGTTGTGCTATTGGGTGTGGTTAAAATGAAAGCGTTCACATTCTTCCTGTATGATACAAATATTATTAAACGTCTGGTTTTGCTGATCTAAAAAAAGTATGTGCACAGACACATGCCTTACAAAAACACACCTGTTGGGTGGAGATGAAGGATGGGCGACTTCTGGTGCTAGAGGATTTGGACTGGAAGATGTCTGTGTAGAAGACTATGAGAGTCTCTATGATGCGGGCCTGGTGGGGGTAGTCTACTAGAGAGGACAAGGACACTGTGGCCCCTGTGGGCCGGGGCCGTATCAGAGAGGGGCCAAAAACGATGCCCAGGTTACTGGGACTCATCTTATTGTCCTGCTCCAACTCTGCAATCCTGACGACAGAGATTTTAAAAAAAAAAAATTATTTCACCTTTATTTAACCAGGTAAGCCAGTTGAGAACAAGTTCTCATTAACAACTGCGACCTGGCCAAGATAAAGCAAAGCAGTGCGATTAAAAACAACAACACAGAGTTACATATGGGGTAAAACAAAACATAAAGTCAAAAAATACAACAGAAAATATATATACAGTGTGTGCAAATGTAGCAAGTTATGGAGGTAAGGCAATAAATAGGCTATAGTGCAAAATAATTACAATTAGTATTAACACTGGAATGATAGATGTGCAAGAGATTATGTGCAAATAGAGGTACTGGGGTGCAAATGAGCAAAATAAATAACAATATAGGGATGAGGTAGTTGGGTGGGCTAATTTCAGATGGGCTGTGTACAGGTGCAGTGATCGGTAAGGTGCTCTGACAACTGATGCTTAAAGTTAGTGAGGGAGATAAGAGTCTCCAGCTTCAGAGATTTTTGCAATTCGTTCCAGTCATTGGCAGCAGAGAACTGGAAGGAATGGCAGCCAAAGGAGGTGTTGGCTTTGGGGATGACCAGTGAGATATACCTGCTGGAGCGCATACTATGGGTGGGTGTTGCTATGGTGACCAATGAGCTAAGATAAGGCGGGGATTTGCCTAGCAGTGATTTATAGATGGCCTGGAGCCAGTGGGTTTGATGACGAACATGTAATGAGGACCAGCCAACAAGAGCGTACAGGTCACAGTGGTGGGTAGTGTATGGGCCTTTGGAGACAAAACGGATGGCACTGTGATAGACTACATCCAATTTGCTGAGTAGAGTGTTGGAGGCTATTTTGTAAATGACATCGCCAAAGTCAAGGATCGGTAGGATAGTTAGTTTTATGAGGGCATGTTTGGCAGCATGAGTGAAGGAGGCTTTGTTGCGAAATAGGAAGCCGATTCTGGATTTAACTTTAGATTGGAGATTCTTAATGTGAGTCTGGAAGGAGAGTTTACAGTCTAACCAGACACCTAGGTATTTGTAGTTGTCCACATACTCTAGGTCAGACCCGTCGAGAGTAGTGATTCTAGTCGGGCGGGCGGGTGCAAGCAGCGTTCGATTGAAGAGCATGCATTTAGTTTTACTAGTGTTTAAGAGCAGTTGGAGGCTACTGAAGGAGTGTTGTATGGCATTGAAGCTTGTTTGGAGGTTTGTTAACACAGTGTCCAATGAAGGGCCAGATGTATACAAAATGGTGTCGTCTGCGTAGAGGTGGAGATGAGAGTCACCAGCAGCAAGAGCGACATCATTGATATACATGGAGAAAGAGTCGGCCCAAGAATTGAACCCTGTGGCACCCCCATAGAGACTGCCATAGGTCCAGACAACAGGCCCTCCGATTTAACACATTGAACTCTATCTGAGAAGTAGTTGGTGAACCAGGCGAGGCAGTCATTTGAGAAACCAAGGCTGGGGGGAAGGGGGAAGAACGATGATATGACAGGGAGGTTAAAACAAGTAATACATGATCACAGTGGTGAATCCTCGTTTGTAATGATCTGTGTAAGGAAAAAAGTGAGTAAGCAATGTGGTATGCTCTTCTGAGCTGCTCACCTGCGCAGGTGGCGTACGATGTAGCGCAGCGTGGCTACATTAGCCTTGGGCAGCTCTTTCACCAGCTCCCTAAGTCTATCCACCACGGCCAGGACCGCTGGGTCCGTATCTGGTCCTAGGTCCACCAGCTCTGGCCCCTTCCCCGTCCCGGCTTCCCCTCCTCCTGTCCCGGCCTCCCCTCCCTCAGTTTGCAGACTCTCCTTGGCTAACCCCATGAGGCTGTTATACAGGCGGAACGGCATGATGGGCTCCGGAAGCTGTGGAGGACAGAGCGGGAGATTTTGATCTTTGTAGCCATCTTATCCAAAGACAACCATGATAAGTGCAATCAAATATGGAGGCTGAAACAGCTACAAGGTGTGTACCTGTCGGAGGTAGAGCTTGAGGACGTTACTGATGTCGTGGGGGGAACACTGTGAGAGCTCCACTAGTTCCTTGCCGTTCTCAAAGGCCTGACACAGTTTCTCTACACGAGTCTTCACCCCATTTACTCTGTAAATACCCTGCAGAGAGGGAGACAAATGTTTGAGAGAAGGATAGAGAAGAAGAAAATAATGCATTCATACAGCCATCCATTACGCTCTTTTCAAGCAACAGACCCTTCACACTTCTTTCCTTCATCCTCCGTTCCCTCACCTTCATCTTCAGGGCTCGTCTCTCTATCTCGGAAATGCACTTAGTGATGATGAAGGGGATGCTGTCAGAGCTGCCGCTGGACACCTGGGAGAAGTCTCGGCCGAACAGCTGGAGTCTACCCTGCAGCTTCTTATGGCCACACTGGATGGCCAACGTCTCCAGACACCGCTTATGACATGCCAGGAAACACTGGTATAGAGGATAGGGGGTATAGGTCAAGGGGTTAGAGGTCAGGATGATAACCAATGAAAGTCAGAGAGATCATTCACACAGAAAAACAGAAGTAATCAGCTAATCGAGCAGCCAAAGTTTATTGCTTTCAAAGAATAAAAGGTGACGAAGGAGATGGTGTTCGCTCACCTCCTCACACTCTGCTCCCTGGAAATACACGTAGCTGTCGCACTCCCGACACTTGGACGGGGTGCGGAGTTTACGCAGCCGATGAGTCTGGGCGGCTTTGGAGAGCCCAATGTTCCGGAATGGTCCGGTTGGAACCGCAATCTCAGGCTCCATGCCATTTATGTCTGCAGAGGAAGATTAATGCATTTATCAATTAATCGATCAATTATGTAATAATTGGCAAACAGAGAGGAGGTAGACCTCAGGTCTCACTTGGTGCTTCAAAGGAGGCCACGTTCCCGTCCTTCTCATCTGGATCCTCATTGGATGACATGGTCCCGGTGGAGGAGGTGCGCGCCATTTTACTGATGTCACCTAAAACACACAAAACTATAACACACACACACACAGCTACAGTACTGCAGAAGATGGCCAGAGAGAGAAAGAGAGAGAGGGAGAGAGAGAGAGCATGCCTTACCTGAACTGGTGGTAGGAGATTCCCCTTCTACACTGTCTGCATCACTCACTGCAGAACCCCACGATTTGTGGCTTTGTCCTGGGAAGGGGACACAAGATTATCTAATGTAGGTCTACACTGTTTTGTCTTGCGCTGTAAACCTACACCATTGACTTAACGTCTTGCATGGTGAGACAGCACAAGACAGAGAGTAAGAACCGCATCAATATCATACAAAATAACACACTCTTTCTGGCGTTTTCAGCGCTGCGGTCCTCTCCTGTAGTGGTCTCTCCGGTGCTGGGTTGACCCTCAGAGCTGCTGTGCTGGTCTGTGTTGAAGCTGTCAGTAAGGGGTCGAGCTGGCTGCCTGAATTAACAGATATAAAAATCAGTCAGTCACAAAACATTATACTATCTATCACCACCTATTTATTACTTGGTGTAAGGTGACCGAGTGCCCATTGGCACCTAATAAACCAAATGCTTTTTATTATGCTTTGAGGCTAGGAGTGACTCACTGTGTGGAGGCTGTGGTGGCGGTGTAGGGCTCAAACTGGTAGGTGACCTCAGGCTCCTCAGTGAGCTGCAGGTCTCTGACGTGGGCAGCGTACTGCTGTCCCGGGTCATACAGCTTACTGCTCTCACACAGAGTCTGGTAGTGTACCGGCAACACCACTGTCTGCATGTGCATTATCTGGTAGTACGAGATGGTGGCCTGGAGGGAAGGAGAGGAATAGAACGGAAGTCATGTAAATGGTCATGTGGTGGAGGCGAAGGTTTAGCTTACATTCCATGACAAGGAGTACAAGGAGTGGAATGTAAGCTGAACAGATTGGTCAGCAGGCTCAAGGTGCTCTGAACAAATTGTGTGTGTGCGTGTACTGACCGAGCGCAGTGTCTGGTCACTCTGTTTGATGACCTCCTGCAGCAGTCGGAGCACATTGACCTTGACGTGTTCCAGCTCCTGCTGCTGGGTGGTGGCGTCTGCTATACATGTCCTGTAGGTGGCCTCTGCCTCTTCAGCCTGAACACACACACACACACACACTGGTCAATTCTCAGCTAGGTTAATGGCATACAGTGCATTCGGAAAGTATTCAGACCCCTGGACTTTTTCCACATTTTGCACCGTTACAGCCTTATTCTAAAATTGATTAAATTGTTTTTTTCCCCCTCATCAATCTAGCCAAAATACCCCATAATGTCAAAGCAAATACATATATATATATTTTTTTGTTGACATTTTTGCTAATTTATTAAAAATAAAAACCTGAAATATGACATTTACATAAGTATTCACACCCTTTACTTAGTACTTTGTTGAAGCATCTTTGGCAGCGATTACAGCCTTGAGTCTTCATGGGTATGACGCTACAAGCTTGGCACACCTGCATTTGGAGAGTTTCTTCCATGCTTCTCTGCAGATCTTCTCAAGCTCTGTCAGGTTGGAGTGTTGCTGCACAACTATTTTCAGGTCTCTCCAGAGATGTTTGATCGGGTTCAAGTCCAGGCTCTGGCTGGGCCACTCAAGGACATTCAGAGATTTGTCCCGAAGCCACTCCTGTGTTGTCTTGGCTGTGTGCTTAGTGTCATTGTCCTGTTGGAAGGTGAACCTTCGCCCCAGTCTGAGGTCCTGAGCACTCTGCAGCAGATTTTCATCAAGGATCTCTCTGTACTTTGCTCCGTTCATCTTTGCCTCGATCCTGACTAGTCTCCCAGTCCCTGCCGCTGAAAAACATCCCCACAGCATGATGCTGCCACCACCATGCTTCACCGTAGGGATGGTGCTCAGCATTCAGGCCAAATAGTTCAAATCTTGGTTTCATCAGACCAGAGAATCTTGTTTCTCGTGGTCTGAGAGTCTTTAGGTGCTTTTTGGCACTAACTCCAAGCGGGCTGTCATGTACCTTTTACTGAGGAGTGGCTTCTGTCTGGCCACTCTACCACAAATGCCTGATTGGTGGAGTGCTGCAGAGATGGATGTCCTTCTGGAAGGTTCTCCCATCTCCACAGAGGAGCTCTGTCAGAGTGACCATCGGGTTCTTGGTCACCTCCCTGACCAAGGCCCTTCTCCCCCGATTGCTCAGTTTGGCCAGGCTGCCAGCTCTAGGAAGAGTCTTGGTGGTTCCAAACTTCTTCCATTTAAGAATGATGGAGGCCACTGTGTTCTTGGGGACCTTACATTTACATTACATTTTAGTCATTTAGCAGACGCTCTTATCCAGAGCGACTTACAGTTAGTGAATACATTTTTTTTTTATTTAATTTTTTTTTTTATACTGGCCCCCCGTGGGAATCGAACCCACAACCCTGGCGTTGCAAACGCCATGCTCTATCAACTGAGCTACATCCCTGCCGGCCATTCCCTCCCCTACCCTGGACGACGCTGGGCCAATTGTGCGCCGCCCATGAGTCTCCCGGTCGCGGCCGGCTGCGACAGAGCCTGGATTCGAACCAGGATCTCTAGTAGCACAGTTAGCACTGCGATGCAGTGCCTTAGACCACTGCGCCACTCAGGAGACCTTCAATGCTGCAGAAATTGTTTGGTACCCTTCCCCAGATCTGTGCCTCGACACAATCCTGTCTCGGAGCACTTCGACCTCATGGCTTGGCGTTTGCTCTGACATGCACTGTCAACTGTGTTCTTAACACCCGCCTGATTAACCCGGAATCCAGCTGCACCAATGTGTTGGAGGAAACACCGCTCAACTAATGACCGCAGTCAGCCTGCAGGCGCCCGATCCGCCACAAGAAGCCGCTAGAGCGCGATGAGCCAAGTAAAGACCCCCAGGCCAAACCCTCCCCTAACCCAGACGATGCTGGGCCAATTGTGTTCCACTCTATGGGACTCCCGGTCACATCCGGTTATGACACAGCCTGGGATCGAACCCGGGTTGGTAGTGACACCTCAAGCACTGCGATGCAGTGCCTTAGACCGCTGCGCCACTCGAGAGGACCTCTGTTTTACATTTTTAATACATTTGCAAACATTTCTAAAAACCTGTTTTCGCTTTGTTATCATGGGGTATTGTGTGTAGATTGCTGAGGATTTTTTTGAGGATTTAAAAAAAATGTAATCCATTTTAGAATAAGGCTGTAACATAACAAAATGTGTAAAAAGTCAAAAAGTCAAGGGGTCTGAATACTTTCCGAAGGCACTGTACATACTCAATGAAAAATGGCCATAGGCTTTGACAATGACTTGTAGTCAGAGACGGGACACAAGACTGCTTTTTAGCAGATTTCCCTGGAGAGGGGAGGGAGAGTAGAGACTAGGCAAGATATGGAGAGGAGAGATGGGGGGGAGGCGAGATGAGTAGAAGAGTGGAGAGGAGAGAGAATGGCAGAAAAATAACATATGCAGTGATGGGGACCTTGTTGCGAGCGTCTTCTTCCACTCGTAACTTCTTGCCCAGAGACTTGGTGGTCGAGCCTCCTCCATCTTCCTCTGCTGCTCTACTAGCGGCTGCTTTGGCCTTGTCGTGCTCCTCACAGCGCGCCATGTAGGCATGCTTGGCCTTGCGCAGGTTAGACTCACATTCCAGCTGGATCACAAACACATAGGTACACAGAATCAGTCTTCAGCAAAACAAATTGGGAAAAATCTTGAGAGAGAAAACAAAGATAAGGGTCTTTTTCAAGATACTTTTTGTTGATTTATTCTCAAATGGTAGTCTCTAAAGGTAAGAAATGTATCCCTGTAAACAATGGCAATGTGAGACAAATAATATAAATAGAGAGATAACATATTGCATAAATAGCACTAGCAAGGAACGGACCAGTTTCCTCTTGGCTCGGTACCACTGTTCCTTGACCTCCTTGCGTTTCTTCTCATGCTCGTGTTTACGCTGCATCAGAGGCTGTAGGAAGGTCTGGTTGTGCAGTGTGGAGGTGGCCTGCTGCACGCCACTGCTCTGCTCCAAGTCCTGCTCCAGAGCCAGAGAGTAGATTGAGTAGAAGGGCATGTGGGGCTGAGAGATAGGGAGTGGTGAGAGGGAAAAGAGCATCATCATTACAGGAGCCTCTTGAATTGGATGAAAATCATTTTGACGAGAGTGAATTAGGTATTCCTTTCCTTAATTCCTTCTACTATAAAAGACAATATCACCAGGGCTTACATGTGTGATGCTGTGCTTGCTGGAATGGTACAGTCTTTGTAAGCCCTTGGCAAACTCCACCTCTGGATGGGGAAAGATACATGGGTGAATCATCAAATCAATAATATGTTACATTCAGGGTATAAGAATCAACCTAAATCTCCACTATTATGTGTAGGGAACTGTCTGCGGTGTCGGTCTACCCACCCAGTGAGGTCCTCTTCTCCACATAGCTCATCAGGTCCTTCATGTATTTAGAGATGGTCTTAGCGTAGGCCAGAGCAGAGTCCACTCCCCCTTCACTACGCTGCAGCATGATGTCCACCTCCTCGGCCCGTCCAAAGTCCTGCAGGTCACTCCTCATCTGAGCTCCCTCTAGTCCCTGACCCGACACCCCATACAGGTTCTCCATAGACTGGACACACAGAGAGAAAGAGTTTCAGACCACTCAAGAATACTGAAAACAGTACCTTATTCTGTACTATATAGCGAGGTTGGGATCAATTCCAATTTAATTAGAAATTCAAATTAAATGATTGAATTAAATCATGAAGTGAAGAACTTACGTTGAATTAAATTCAAATTTCAACCATCTTCAAGTTATGAATTTGGAATTGAAATGAGACTGTTTATATTTTAATAGAAATTGTAAAAACATTTGATCTTTGGAATTGAATTGGAATTCAATATTTGTACATTTCCCAGTTAATGGAATGAATGCACCTAGTATAAAAAAAATTCACTGCAGGATTTGTTTTAAATAATTTCTACTTGTATTTCTATATTTCCAGTATAGCTAGGCTGTCTGAACAGTGACATGATCAGCCTGAAAGCCTTAAGGAATTGAATTGGAAATTGAATTCTTGGAAATGACCTAACATTGGAGTTGAGAGGAATTGAATTCTCTGAATTCAAAGACTGACATTGAATTTGAATTTACAGGGAGAGTGAATGGAATTAGAACTGAATTTGTGGAATTAACCCCAACCCTGATATATAGTATATTATTCGGTACACAGTGTTTACCAGAGCCAATACAAATAATGATGGAACAGAGCAATGCTAAGGGGTATCTCAGGGATGGAGATGTACAATTTAATGATGGATATTAAATACTGCACATTTTAAACACTTGCCCCCCAATCCCCAAAACATCTGTAAATATTGGACTATAAATTGTGCCTTACTTTATTATACTTATGCTAAAATATTAATTGTATTCTACTGAGCCATTTACTTCATGTTCGTATTCTTATCTTTTCTTATTTGTTGTTGCATTGTCGAGAAGGAACCTGCAAGTAAGTATCCTGTACATGTGACTAATAAAAACGTGAAACTTTCGATGAAAATAGGATTTGGCACATAGACTGTGGGCAATAATAACCCCAGTGTGTGTGTGCAGGCCTGTTGAATTCAGTGTGTCAGTATTGGAGCTGCATTGATGAATGAGATAGAAGGAGCTGTGTTATCTGGAGTCTCAGAGGCGGTCTGTGTGTGTCGCCATAACAGGAGAGCGAGGGAGAGGAACAGGCAGAGATAAAGACACACTGTGTCACTGCCAGGAAGCTGGTCTTGCTGCCACGCAAACATCCGCTCTGAGAGCCGAGACTGTCATACCTCCTGCCACATGCACACCAAGGCAAATTAACCCCCACTCACCCTGCTCTTCTCTGTTGGCAGCAGGGACAGTAGGGTACTGCTGTCCACCTCCCCCATCAGCAGCTCTGACACACTGAGGAGGACAGAGACAGAGGCCATTACACAGAGACAGTACCTCCATCAGAGATGGAGAGAGAGGAAGGACTAAAATAAAAAGGGAAAATTGTAGATCAAATAGGATTTGATAGGTTAAAGCAATGTGAAGGGTACATTTCGGGTTCTTTCCCCCACCGGTAGTCATGGAAAGAAAAGGAAAGGAAACAAGGAAAGGAGAGACAAAACTTCAGGAAGTGGTTGATGCCAGGCTCTGTGCAATCGCACCGGCCATTTAACTTCCTGTGTCTTCTTTGCCCTGTTGCAGTTGTATGTACTGTGCAGAACCAGGAAGTGAACAAGCACTCTTGAATTGTTTATATTCCTATTTACAACTTTAAATAGACCCATGTACAATATACTGTACACATATCAGAGGACATGTTTTAGCTGTAAAATGTATTTTACATTTTTTGGGGGGAGAGTGATATGTTTGTATCAAAACGACCATTATCACACATACACATTATCTCAGAGGATAGAAGCACCTATTCTCTGTCTGTAACTAATCTGTTGAGACAACAGATGCCAAATGGCTGCGTTTTGTGTCCTAGGTTACGGAAGATAAGAAAACCACCACTACACTTCCTGTTTTCTACTGAGCCCCATGCAAATGTGTCACTGTGTTTCGCTCTAAGCTCCACTTCTCCATCTCACATGTGCACACACGTACATTGTACTTCTCCAGTCATCACACCTACACCCCCCACCTGACCACTGAGGACACACCACATGTGGTCATGTCCCATTACTCTGTACCAGAGAATAGTGTTGTTGCATCTCAAGTGGTAAAAAGTAATAGCATTGGTTTATTTCAGGATCCGTTCAATACTGTTACTAGCTCATGACAATACATACTGAGAAACGGGTGTACCAGATACTTACTTGCTACTAAAAGCAACTGCAATGGTTTCAATGGCCTTCTCAAAGTCCTTCTTGTCTGTGTCATTACACGTCTCATAATGAAATCCTGCAATCAAAATAATGAATGTGTTCATTCTAGCCCATCTCAGCCATTTTAACTGATTTACTTATTTTTGCTAAAAGCATAGACTTTTTGACCATAGGTAGTAGACCACTGATTGGTCCAGCCAGTAGTCTCACCTTTGACCTTAGATATGAGTTTGCCTGCAGCAGTGAGGGTCTCCACTGTGTTGAGGAGGGGGTAGGTGCTGATGACCTGTCGTAGGACCCTCAGGACCTCCCCCAGGCACTCATGGGCCAGAGGGCGACGGTTCTCCTGCTTTTCTACAGACAGAGAGAGAGAAAGAGACAGGGGACAGTCAGAGACACAGACAGGAGAGACATGGATCCTGTGCCATTCATAATACACAGCACTCCACTTGTCTACAGCCACACACAAAGAGGATAGAGCCTAACCTACCTGTTTGTACATCTATCGAGTACTAGTTACAACCGGAAGTGATAGGGTTGGTGTTAGGGAGATAGAAGGCTGTGTCTGAGGTCTGTCACAACATGGAATCCATATAACATGGAGATTTTCTTTGTAGACTGTGCCTCTATTAGGGTTGGACACAGTATTAGAGGTTATTAGAGGTTGAGAGGGAGTGATTCATGACCAATGTCTGGGCATCATGAATAGTAACACGGACAGCAGACAGACGGGTTGTAGGGATAGTCGGGTCTGCTTTGATGTCAGCAGTGACGTCTGCAGCCCACTTCCGTGTCTCACTCTCACAGACAGATCCTTTGGCCGGTAGAGACATCCGTCCTCCTCTTGACCCCTTTGACCCTCCATCCCTCTGTCGCAATGTCTATCAAAGTGGCTGGCCAATGGAATGGGACCAGGAGGCCGGAGGGCAGAGCGGGTGAAATAGTTAGAGGGCATGTCAGAAGGAGGATGGTAAAGGCTCCAAGACGCTTACTATAGAAACTGAAGCTGTACATCACAATGTGGCATTATGTGACCGTGTGTGTAGACTTGTATGTACATTTAGTTCCTGGATAATCTCGTATCAAATATATTTCAGTAGTAGATGGTTGTGGTTTGTCAGAATTTAACTCAGAGAAGTTATGAACCTAAGGGAGCCCATAATTTCAGATATTGACCATGTGATAGGTTCAAATGGGGAGAGGTTAATCTCAGACCATCACAAGGATGGGCTGGAAGCAGTCTTGTACTATTGACGGTGTCACAGGTCAGACTAATGCAGTGGACTATGTGAGGAGGAAGTCTGAACGAGGCCATTCATCATAGCTTCCTGTTTAGATTCATACGACAGTCACAGGGTGTGGGGGGGTTAACAATAAGTTAAGGTATAGACACCCTAACTATTCTATCGCTTTGAGAGCAAACAACCCATGTTCCAAAGCGAGACAGTTTTTGTTGGCCTAACTCTTGAAAATTGTTACATTACTTATGTTGCAGTTCTTGTATTTTATTGCATCAATAAAATAAATTACACATTATCAGCCTGCCTCATGAAAATGGAAAAAACCTTTCTCTGAGGTAACTATGACTGTTTTGAGGCCTAATTCCCTGAAGTCATTTTTGCTGAAAAACCATTGGACCAGCCATTTTGCTTGAATACAGACAGAAACTGCAGTAAACAAGAGTCTGGTTTCCTGCTGGAGTGTGGTCGCGAGAGAGAGCGCGCGCGCGAGAGAACTGTGTCGCTTGTGCAAAGCCAGCCAGCCAGCCCGCCCTTCCCCTCCACCTCCCACACACAACACGTGGTGAGCAGGAGGGGTGAGGAGGGGAGCCAAAACAGCATTGTTCTGAGCGCATGCTAACATGTGGCGCATCATGTAGGAGTAGTGGAGAATTCAGACATCCACACAGAGAACAATAAGACTGGGAAAACAATAGCAGATGGTCACAATGCAGCCAAAATCACTCCCAATAACAAAGGCATATAATAATAATAATAATAATAATAATAATACATTTAACAGACTCTTTTATCCAAAGCAACTTACAGTCATGCGTGCATACATTTTACGTATGGGTGGTCCCGGGAATCGAACCCACTATCCTGGCATTGCAAGCTTCACATTCTACCAATGGACCTACAGAGGACCACTCAATCATGTGCACACTGAAATATCTGACTCCAGTTCTCTGAAGATAAGTTGTCCCATCTATAAGCTTGTATGCCTGTCTAACAGTCTTAGAGGAGCCAAATGAACATCATGACTCCAGAGACTGAGAATAGCTGTTAGTTAACTGTATTTTGAAAATGCACCACCCTGCCCCCTTTTACAATCTAAAGTGCTTTGAGCATTGGAGAGACAAAGGAGAAGTGCACAAACCTATGTGAACCTATTCCACTCACCTTCCCCCAATACAACGTCCTTCAACTTCTCTACGGCCTCAGCAAAGCGGGCCACATCCCTTAACAGAGAGGGGATGTCCTCCACCTCAATGGCCATGCTCTCTGAGCTGTCCTGTGGGGTGGTAGGGGTGGGGGTGACAGCCCCCTTCCCCTGGCCCTTGGTGAACACCCAGGAGTGGATAGGGAACCCCGCGGCACTGGCATGACGGCTGAGGCCGGTGGGCCTCTTCATGGTGGCCCCTGGGGACGGGCAGCCCACCCCCACCAGCTTGCTGTGCTGGACACTGGGGGTGCCAGGGCAGGACACGGAGGAGTCCGATAGGGCACCGGGAATGGGGAAGAGGGTGGAGGAGGAAGAGGAGGATGAGGTTGAGGAAGGGGTGGTGTCGATAGCATCACGACGAGGCTGCTCCTGGAGAATAGACAGCTGGGTAAGAGAGAGGAGGGGGGAGAGGAGAGGGAGAAGGACAACGTGATGATTTTTACCATCGCATAAAAACATCAGGACAATAATGTGTGATATTTTTGGCCAGTGGTTGGCAGGCTGTTGTTGGTAAACAGACGAACTGAGACTTTAACAAGATTCTGTGTTGTGCAACACTTCCTGACTCTACTTCTTGCCACACCCTGAAACAGCTCTCCGAAAACAGAAACTCAGGCCACATTATGCAACATCAATTTGTACGGTTTGATGAGACATGACGGAAAAGTAATGAAATCAACCCATCAAGTGTCCCAACTTGTCCATGGACTACAACACACCTAACATAAATGACAGAGTTGATGAAATAATGGCTAAATCAGAGTCTAACTGTCATGGATGCAGTGGTGTAGTGTATAGGCCTGAATCGTACACATCTTAAAGTCTAAACCGTATCAATGGCAGGTGCATGGTGTGGTTATGAAACAGAAAATAGCTTCACACAGCTTCACACCTTGCCAGTAGGAGGCGCAACTAGGACAACTAGTGCAGACCTTGCTTTATGTTATTTCAAAAACACCTTTTATGGTACTGCATTTTAAACTTGAAAGTCTAGCATACTGTATGAAGGAGATACATGTTTACATACGGAAAATAACTATTTGAAGGACAGATAATAGTCTCAATTCAGTGAGACTAATAACACTCATTCCTTCTCATGAGAAATGTATAAAACCTAGGTGGCTAACTGAATAAATCGGTTGTGTTTGACATACCTGTTTGAGCCAGACGTTGGGTCTATTGGGTCGTTTGTCCAATTTGTTCTTGGCGTTAGCCTCCTCTTTCTTAACTCTCTGACCCGTGGAGTATGGGTTGTAACTATTCTTGCTACCCCGTTTCAGCATGGTTTCTATCACTATTGTTTTAACATCATCTTTAGCAGAAATGTGACTCATCTTGCAAGTGACCAACCAATACTGGCTTACTAACCCACAAAAACATTTTCCAATGAGTGAGAAACAAAAAAATGAGTCATTCTGCAGACACAGTTATCAGTGACTAACAGGTTTATTTTGAATAGACTATAACAACTTTAAGTATTTTTAAGTATTCATCAACAATGTCCTCAAATATTCAACCAAATATCCCAATAGTATAACATCTCTCTCCCACTAGGCTACTTTAAATTAATTAAATGACCTAAAATGCTCACCTTTAGCCTTTAAAACACCCCACTAAACATGTCATTGCTGGTCCATAACCTATGATAAGTGAAGTGTATTTAAAGTTTGACCTCTGTCATGCTGTCCCCCAAGTCCCCTAGCTTCTCTGCAGCAGACAGACAGTGTAGGAAATATGTTTGAGTGACAGGAGGAAATCAGAGATGATGAGCTACTTACTGATGATGAGCTCTGTGGCCCGGGGCTTCCTGCTCGACTCTTCTTCGAGATGGAAGGGGTTTTGATCAATTCCCTTTTCTTTCGGGAGAACATCTTCAATGTACCTTTGCCGTCCATCCCGACTTCTTTGAGTTTCACATACAACCCCCCCACCCACCCCCCCGACTCTCCACTTCTTTGGTGCTCTGCCAGTTTACAGGCGCTACTCTTCCATCGGTTCCAACCTTCAGCCACGCTTGCTGCTGCCTCGCTCCCACACATTGAGCGTTCAAGCTCACTGACAGCTCACCACAAACAGTCAGTGCGGCCGCGACATCCGCTCAGGTTTTTTTTCTCAAGGGAAGAAAAGCGCATGTGATGTTATGCTCTCCATTTGATTGGGGCGCTAGAGGTTTGTAATCCAATGTCTATAAAACATTTTCACAGAGCACTTCTATAGTAAACCAGGAGTGTACAACATAGTTGATGCGTAGAAGAAGACTTAAATAGCTCTAACACCGATTGATAATGGAGAATGCTTCCCTGCCCCCTACTGTCGGAGGGGTCTGGCAGGAGTCCTAGTCCGCTTACAGTACGATTTAAGTTCTGGAACGTTCAATTGAACTGAAAGGGTGCTGTACTGAACGACCAGTTGAAAAACGGTGAGGTTGGGGAACGCTGTCAGCATGGCCACTGCCCTTTAAATACGCTACACCTTGCAGCACCCACCAAACGGGAGCAAACGTACCTCAAAGTCCGTTCAATAAAGTTTGGTGGAAACGTGTCGTTCAGTACATATCAAGCGAGCTGAATGCACCTCTAGTCGGTCTGGAACTCACCCTATATGGCCGTGTTCCAGAGGATCAAAACCGTAATGTATCATGGGTAAATTGTGACTGGCTGACTGATCTACAAATAATAATGAGTAGTTATTTATGATGCATGTTTTATTTACATTTACATCATTTAGCAGATGCTCTTATCCAGAGTGACTTACACATTTTATGAGCAGAAATAAAAGATCCCAGAAATGTTCCATATGCACAAAAGTTTATTTCTCTCAAATATTGTGCACAAATTTGTTTACTTTCCTGTTAGTGAGCATTTCTCCTTGCCAAGATAATCCATCCACCTGACAGGTGTGGCATATCAAGAAGCTGAATAAACAGCATGATCATTACACAGGTGCACATTGTGCTGGGGACAATAAAAGGACACTCTAGAATGTGCAGTTTTGTCACACAACACAACACAGATGTGTCAAGTTTTGAGGGAGTGTGCAATTTGGCATGCTGACTGCAGGAATGTCCACCAGAGCTGTTGCCAGAGAATGTCATGTTAATTTCTCTACCATAAGCCGCCTCCAACGTCATTTTAGAGAATTTGGCAGTACGTCCAACCGGCCTCACAACCTCAGACCACGTGTAACCCCGCCATCCCAGGACCTCCACATCCGTCTTCTTCACCTGCGGGATCGTCTGAGACCAGTGGACAGCTGATGAAACTGTGGGTTTGCACAACCCAAGGATTTCTACACAACCTGTCAGAAACCGTCTCAGGGAAGCTCATATGTGTTCTCGTCGTCCTCATCAGGGTCTTGACCTGACTACAGTTCGACTTCAGTGGGCAAATGCTCACCTTCGATGGCCACTGGCACGCTGGAGAAGTGTGCTCTTCACAGATGAATCCCGGTTTCAACTGTACCAGGCAGATGGTATGACGTCGTGTGGGCAAGCAGTTTGCAGATGTCAACGTTGTGAATAGAGTGCCCCATGATGGCGGTGGGGTTATGGTATGGGCAGGCATAAGCTACGGACAACGAACACAATTGCATATTATCGATGGCAATTTGAATGCACAGAGATACCGTTACTAGCTCCTGAGGGCCATTGTTGTGCCATTCATCCGCCACCATCACCTCATGTTTTAGCATGATATTGCACAGCCCCATGTCGCAAGGATATGTACACAATTCCTGGAAGCTGAAAATGTCCCAACCATTGAGCATATTTGAGATGCTCTGGATCGATATGTATGACTACATGTTCCAGTTCCCACCAATATCCAGCAACTTCGCATAACCATTGAAGAGGAGAGGGACAACATTCCACAGGTCACAATCAAGAGCCTGCACGAGGCAAATGGTGGTCACACCAGATACTGACTGGTTTTCTGATCTACAGCTCTGATTTCCTTATATGAACTGTAACTCAGTAAAATCTTTGAAATTGTTGCATGTTGCATTTATATTTTTGTTCAGTGTATATAATATTATTTTTTATTTTTTTCACAAAAGTAGTGCACTGGGCCTTTACTACTCCTGTATTCAGGGCTGGTCATGGCCATTCAGAACTGGTCCGCCACAAGGAGTCGCTACAGCACAATGAGCCAAGGAAATCCCCCCGGCCAAACCCTCCTCTAACCCGTACTATGCTTTGCCAATTGTGCGCCGCCCCATGGGGCTCCCGGTCACGGCCGGCTGGGACACAGCCTGGGATCGAACCCGAGGCTGTAGTGGCGCCTCAGCACTCCGATGCAGTGCCTTAGACCGCTGCACCACTCGGGAAATGCCACACTCTTTAATCTGCCGCCATAGCCCGCCGCCTTTAATCCTACATAATAAGTGAGCCGGCCTTGCTTATATTAGCGGACCGATATAGCCCTCTGCAATGCAGGAAACTTTTTTTCTCTCACAAAAGTAGTGCACTGGGCCTTTACCACTCCTGTATTAACGGACCGATACAGCCATCTGCAGCGAGGGGAGAAATGTTTTTCTCCCAACATGGGGGACCTCTGACTTTCTCATCCAATGGGTTTTGGGAAGGAGGCAAGGACAGAGAGAGGACGTGAGGAGTAACCAATTGAGATTCTCCCTTTGTCGCAAAGGCGGAAAGGCAGGCGGGAGGCAAGATCAGGTGGGAACATTCTAGCCAATGAGAGGGCAGATACATGTGTAAACAAAGTTGCCGAGATGCCACGTGCGTCCACTTAGACTACATGACCAAAGGTATGTGGACACCTGCTTGTCATCTCATTCCAAAATCATGGGCATTAATATGGAGTTGGTCCTCCCTTTGCTGCTATAACAGCATCCACTCTTTTGGGAAGGCTTTCCACCAGATGTTGGAACATTGCTGCGGGGACTTGCTTCCATTCAGACACAAGAGCATTAGTGAGGTCGGGTACAGATTTTGGGTGATTAGGCCTGGCTCGTTGAGTGTTCCAATTCAACCCAAAGGTGTTCGATGGGGTTGAGGTCAGGGCTCTGTGCAGGCCATTCAAGTTCTTCCACACCTATCTCGACAAACCATTTCTGTATGGACCTCGCTTTGTGCACGGGGGCATTGTCATGCTGAAATAGGAAAGGGCCATCCTCACTGTTGCCACAAAGTTGGAAGCACAGAATCGTCTAGAATATCATTGTATGATGTAGCGTTAAGATTTCCCTTCACTGGAACTAAAGGGCCTAGCCCGAACCATGAAAAACAGTCCCAGACCAATATTCCTCCTCCACCAAACTTTACAGTTGGCACTATGCATTTGGGCAGGTAGCGTTCCCCTGGCATCCGCCAAACCCAGATTTGTCCGTCGGACTGCCAGATGGTGAAGCGTGATTCATCACTCCAGAGAACGCATTTCCACTTCTCCAGAGTCCAATGTTGGCAAGCTTTACACCACTCCAGCCAATGCTTGGCATAGTGCATGGTGATTTTAGGCTTGTGTGCGGCCATGGAAACCCATTTCATGCCGCTCCCGACAAACAGTTATTGTGCTGATGTTGCTTCCAGAGGCCGTTTGGAACTCGGTGTTGAGTGTTGCAACCGAGGACCGACAATTTTTACGTGCTACGCTGCCCTGTTCTGTGAGCTTGTGTGGACTACCACTTCGCGGCTGAGCCGTTGTGTCTCCTAGACGTTTCCACTTCACAATAACAGCACTTACAGTTGACCGGGGCAGCTCTAGCAGGGCAGAAATTTGATTAACTGACTTGTTGGAAAGGTGGCAGGATGCCACGTTGAAAGTCACTGAGCTCTTCAGTAAGGCCATTCTACTGCTAATGTTTGTCTATGGAGATTGCATGGCTGTTTGCTCGATTTTATACATCTGTCAGCAACGGGTATGGCTGAAATAGCCAAATCCGCTAATTTGAAGGAAGGGGTGTCCATATACGTTTGTATATATCGTGTATATCAATAAATTCGTAACAATCTAAACATTACAAAACATATTCGAGCAAATAAGCCTCACTTTGCAAATTAGCAATAAAAAAAATGTGTTAAACTATTTCGAAACGTTTCGCCTCTTCCTCTCTTCTGGCACAATCATCCACACTGCTGCCAACTCTCAAGCATTGGGTGTGAGACACAGGCAGCTGACCCTCTTCACATGCTCACACGCCACACCCAGTGCTGCCAACTCCAAAGATGATGGATATACTGACAAGAAACGTGTTTCTCCACCCTACAACCGCCCTAACAATGGGAGTCGTTGTCCTCAAAGCGGCACAGCGGGCTGTCTAGCTCTCGCCTATCATTTATTTGGATTGGTGGATACATCTCATTATTAATATAATAATAATAATAATAATAATAATATGCCATTTAGCAGACGCTTTTATCCAAAGCGACTTACAGTCATGCGTGCATACATTTTTTTTTTGTGTATTATTGTAATATTTTTTTGAATATTCGATTAAAAAAAATATATATATATATTCAATGAGGGTTCTTGACGTCAACCCCTTGTATTAATGTAGAGAGATGCTATGCTACTAGCCTCAGCATGAATATGCATAGCCATCTCCAGACAACTCCGATATAAAGTGTTTTTTCTCAGAGTTGACGGGCTGTCACTTGTACGCATTTGTCCCTCATCACACACTCACGCGCCACAACTTTTATTTCTCACGCATGAAAAAAGTACTGCTTCTGTTTTCTAATTATTCCAGTGTATATTCAGTACGTTAACTTTTCAACTGTGCCACATAATCTTTTTTTATATCGGAGCATATGCGCCTGCAATTGTACATCACGAGCATTGTAACCGCGGCAGCTTCACCCCCCTCACGATAAGAGTGGAGCAGACCGCCACGGCAGACTGAACAGGCATGTTCGTTTTCCACTGAACAAACCCTTACAAAAAAAGATAGCAGTTTTGAAACTGCAGTAAAAGTGCATGAACTGCAGTCGACTGTGGTATTTTGGACGCAGTAACTGCAGAATAACTGCAGTGTACTGCAGTTGAACTGCAGTAATACTGCAGCTACACTGCAAAATTACTGCAGTAAAAAAACGGGTATTTTGGAAGCAGTATTTGCAGCATACTGCAGTTAAACTGCACTCTAACCAGGAAAATAACCTCTCACTCAACGTCAACAAAACAAAGGAGATGATCGTGGACTTCAGGAAACAGCAGAGGGTGCACCCCCCTATCCACATCGACGGGACCGCAGTGGAGAAGGTTGAAACCTTCAAGTTCCTTGGCGTACACATCACTGACAAACTGAAATGGACCACCCACACAGACAGTGGTGAAGAAGGCACAACAGAGCCTCTTCAACCTCAGGAGGCTAAAGAAATTTGGCTTGGCTCCTAAAACCCTCACAAACTTTTACAGATGCACAATTGAGAGCATCCTGTCGGGCTGTATCACTGCCTGGTACGGCAACTGCACCGCCCGCATCCGCAAGGCTCTCCAGAGGGTGGTGTGGTCTGCCACAAACCCCAGCCTCAAGGGAACACCTACATTACCCATGTCACAGGAAGGACCAAATAGATCAATCAAGGACCATTAACCACCCGAGCCACTGCCCTGGTTCACTCCGATATCATCCCAGAAGACGAAAGTCTAAGTACAGGTGCATCAAAACTGGGACCAGAGTTGACTGAAAAACAGCTTCTATCTCAAGCATCAGACTTAAACAGCCATCACTAGCACATAATATATAATATTATGCCATGTGCAGCCTTGTATCCAAGCGACTTACAGTCATGCGTGCATACAATTTTTGTGTATGGGTGTCCCGGGCTCGAACCCACTACCTTGGCGTTACAAGCGCCGTGCTCTACCAGCTGAGCTACAGAGGACCACATGTATTCTGTACTATTCTACGGTAAATCTTAGTCACTTTAATATGTTACTGGAGTCTCATATGTATCTACTTATTCCTTAATATTCTACTGTATCTTAGTCCATGCTGCTCTGACATCGCCTCGTCCATATATGTATATATTCTTAATTCATTCCTTACTTAGATTTGTGTGTATTGGGTATATGTTGTGAAATTGTTACAGTGCTATGAAAAAGTATTTGCCTCCTTTCAAATGTTTCTCTACTTTTGCATATTTGTGATACTGAATGTTATCAGATCTTCAACCAAAACCTAATATTAGATAAAGGGAACGTAAGTGAACAAATAATACAACAATTCATTTATTTCATAAACAAAGTTATGCTGCACTGTAACTGCAGTTACTCTGCAAAATTACTGCAGTAAAAAAATGTGGACGCAGTATTTGTAGCATACTACAGTTATACTGCACTCTGACTGCAACCTCGACACCTTGTCCACACATGCTGCATCATTTACATAATCGGCGCAATCCATGCACTGCACCGCATCACAACAAAAACAATCACACTACACATTAGCACTTCTTCGGTGGTTTATCTTCTTCCGTTTCTGATACCGCACGGCAAAGTAACGCACAAGTTGGAAAAATCCAACGAATGAGACACACTGCACGCACCGCAACCTAGTCCGGCAGATGAGTTGCGGCGGTGCACATTACCTCCCATTGAAATGAATGGACTTTCGCTCCAATGCATACAGTTTACCGCAGTTGGTATGCACGAGGCATTAAGGCGACCTGGTCGAGTTCCCCTGCTCAGATGTTGCATGCATCAGCCAAAGGTTGAGTGCCACGTCAGACTGTGCCGTTGTGTACCAGATTGCTATAACAAATGATGTGATTAGCTGATAAATAAAATACCTATCCAGGCACTGTAAGATCTGGCAGGCATCGAACGTGCCCAATGACCCTCAGCGCCTCTCGCTTAAGATTATAGACGGTTCCCCCTCATTATAAATGGTTTGCGTTAATAAAAAAGGAAACAAGAGGACTTCATTTTTTGGGGTTTAAGAATAGAATGAGCTCAGGCTGCCATTATCATATATCACAGCTAAACTGTGTTTCATAATTCCATTATCCAGAAACATGTTGGATCATTTAACCAATATGTTTTGTAACACAGGGGTGTTAAATTACAAAGAGTGATGGGTGGTGGACGAGGTGAGGATTTTCTATTATGTTCTAGACATGATGAAAAACAATGACAAGAGCAGATCTTTTTTGCCATATCTGAAATATTTAATGAACAAAATGTGTTATCTTGACAAATTAATCATTTAGAAAAATGAGCTTTGATATATTGTGTGTTCTGTCAATGTCCATAATAGTTTTTTGAGCAGTTCCCATTAAAGCTAAAATCCTTAGTTGCTACATACATTTTTGGACTTATAAATTAATGATATAGCTATATGCATTGATTCTTGAAGAATAATTTATTAATGGCTAATGAGCTTAGTTCAACTGTCATACCCCATCAGAACGCAAAAAATATAAACTTGTTATAATCCAATTTTTGTAAACAAACACTGTGTAGCCTCAAAACAGGGTTAAAACTATAATTCTGATATCATGGATGGTCAGTCCTTGCATACATAGCTCTCGCTTTGAATTTGAGAATTGGTTACATTTCTCCAGGCACATCCCTCAGCTTTTTACCAAAACGCAGGCGGTGTGACTGCTTTGTTATTGTTTCAATTAAGGATTCCAGCTTTTAGTTTAAATGACATCCTTGACATCAAAATGGCCGGTGTTGGTTAATTTATTAAAAAAGGTATGCAATACAAATACAATTTTTCTTTACTGCATGTTGTATAAATACCAAACCCTGAGGTTTTTATTAGAATTTCCAGCAAAATGAAACTACTTCCTCTCTTGGAATTAGGAATTTAGAAAGGTGTGAGACCTGGTTTGCCATTGCCTGAATTCCCATGTCTAAAGGCAGCCCTGACAGTGGCCCTCCAACCTACCTCTCCAAATAAAATGTTATTCCAACAGAAAAAAAAGTTATCCTAGAAGGCTGATGTTGCTAGCATTTCACATCTCCCATTTAAGAGGCAATGTCTGTGCTCTGGAACTGTGTGGGCTAGAATTGTAGTTCTGCAGTTCTGGAACTTTGTGCCTTAGAGTTGTAGTTCTGGAATGGTGTGCTCCAGCATTCTTGTTTTGTAGTCCTGGAACTGTGTATTCTAATCTAAAGTTCTGTAGCTGGACCCCACTCGAAGTCCTCAGTCTCGTCGTTGTCATCAGAGCTGTCACTGCCTTGGATCTGAGTGCGTCTCGTCTGGACAGCCTGGTGGTGAGCCAACCTATGAGGAGATAGAAGAGAAAGAAGCATAATGTACTGTCACTTCAGTCTTACTCAACTTGGATAGAACAATTTGGACTAGGACTGGCGTAGTTTCTCACTTTCCAGTTGCTAAGGTTGGTTTATAGACAGGGATTTTGATGATTATGCAACTAAACAAATAGCGTCACACATTAATATTATCAGATATAGGCCTACTTCACTTACACAATGAATGATGGGGAAGCTTTCCTCTCCTGAGGTTCTGCCATATGGGTCTGAAAGAGGGAAAGAAGTCATGGGTCAAAATCACTGGAGACACAAGTTAACAGAGTATTTGAGCCTTTGGAAGTAAAATAAGAGCTTATGGAGGATCTGTAAGAGTTTAGTGATATGATGGACTGTGACAGTCCCATCAGTACCTGTTGGAGTTTCTTCTCTATGACTGACAGTGTGACAGCTGGGGGGCTATCTGGCAGCAGCTCGGCTGATGGGGGCTCAGGGACAGAGATTCTGGGGTCAGGGGCTATGAAGTCAGGGTGTGCGTCAGAGTGGGTGGTCGGAACAGCCGGGTCAATGGCGCTGAAGTCCGAATCTGAGAAGCTATGATAGGATGGGGCGTCATCAGCGACGACAATGTGAGAAGAGCTGTCAGATGGACGACGGGTTGACCTGGGCTCAGGCACATGCATCAGGGGTGGGACCTCTCCCATAGGCTCGGGGGACGGGTCGGGGCTGTGGTACTCAGAGGCAGGCTCTGAGGAGCGGGCTAGAGCGGTGGGCCTGGACATATGGGGCTGGTTGCTGGAGTCAAATGGTTCCTCCAGGTCCTCATTGTCGGTGTAGATCTCTCCGTCTGTAAACGCCTCTCCATCCGTGTCCTCCAGATCACTGGCAGCACTCAGGTAGTCAGAGTGGGTCCGGTCCAACGCATCCAGCTCCTCCTCTCCGCCTCCCTCCAACTAAACACACAGACATGTATTTACTTATTTAGTCTTTATTCTGCCAGGTAATTCATTGAGAGCAAATTCCCAGTTTGACTATGAGCTGGGATCTGTCTGTCTTACCGTGACTTCTGAGACCCAGACAGGTTTGGCCTGCTGGTGTCTGATCTTGTCTTTCAGAGCCTCATACCACACATTCGAGCTGGGCTGGAGGGCAATACGAGCTGGGAAGTATGGGAACGATGGGACATAGTCAGTTATGAATAAAACTATAGAACCACTTGACATTTTTGAACAGATAAACACTTAAGAACAAAAACAACATGTATGTGTTTCGATAACACAGTTGTGTGTGTGCGTTTACCTGCGAACAGATGGCCGCAGTGCTTCCTCATCTTGAGGGCCTGCGCGTAGAGACGTCTGGAGCTCTTGTTGGAGTTGGGGCACATCTTCTGCCTCATGGCCTTGACATCCTTCCTGCTGTGTGGGTCCAGGAACAGCACCATGGGGTGGTACTGGATGTAGTTCAGACGCTCCACTGCAGTAGGAGTAATGTCCAGCAGAGGGTGCTTGTTCTGGAAACAGAGCATGAAGAAACATACAATAAGGCAGTGTTCTTCAATGGCGAAGGTGCATAAAGATGGAGGAATTCAGATATGACGTCATTGTTTTAGAAATATCTACGGCGCACGACATGGTTCAATGTTCCAATAAATCAGCACAATCTACTTTCTTTTTCTCCCAAATTGACGCCGTCTTGGAGCTAGAATTGGGATCAAGTTAAATGAGGCATTTGTGGTAAGTACATGGGAGCCGCCATCTTTATGCATGTCTGCCATTCTGGTCCTGGATTCAAACAAGCATACAGTTGTACATCTATGTCTCACACCAAAACAGGTCACATCATCCCAGTTTGTTTCATCACCTTCTCTGCAATCCTTCGGACTGTGTCCAGCTTGATGACCGTGGAAGCGGTGTCTGCTCCACTACTACGAGGAACCATCTCTGCCATCTCATATTCATCAGGCATCTCTCTGGCCAGCTTCTCCATGGCCACATCATTCAGAGGACCCAAGATGACGATTGGCCGTTTGAAATTAGCTGGAGATACACAAGGGTCCAAGTACATGCATTGATTCACAATACAAAATGTTTAGTACACAAACGTTTAAAGTGTTTGACTATTATGTGAACTATTATGTAATATAAAACTCTCCCTACCTTCCCTGAGCAGAACTCTCTCGTACGCTGGGAATTTGCCCTGGATAGTGAGCTGGAGTAGGTCGTCGCGGGTCCGGCGGACGTTCTTCTTGGCCCCTCTGAGCCCCCGTAGTTTCCAGAACTCTGCCCTGGGCCCTGAGACCTGGCGATCCCCTCCTCCTCCACTGGCCCTTTGAGCCTGCTCCAGACAGGCCAGTGTCTCAGCCCTGGGAGAGAGAGAGGTAGATAATGGCAGGTAAATAATGCTGTAATAGAATTATTGTAGAATGAATGCTACCCTAACGACAGTATGAGGCTGCGTTTACATTGGCAGCCCGATTCTGGTCTTTTTTTTTCTTTTGACCAATCAGATCAGCTCGTTTGCCAATAATTGGCCAAAGGATCAGAATTGGGCTGCCTGTGTAAACGCAGCATAAGTGTACAAATTGAAAATACGTTGCAATCAGATGTCATCCTTTGTAACCTAATGTACCTTTTTACGTTTGTCTTTTTACATCCAAATCCAACCAATCATTTAATCAGCAATTCAATCAATCACTCTAGTCTCAACTCACCCGGCCTGGTTGGGGATGGTGCCCTTGTCCAGCTCGTGCAGGTCGTTGCCCATGCGTATAGCCAGCCACTTCCCCAGCTTGCCCTTGTGCATGGTGTCCACCACCCTGAACACCTCTCCCCTGGTGAAGGCTAGGCTGATGTTGCCCTCTGCCTCATTGTCAAAGTGGGTCCGGATGTAGAACGAGTCCCCCAAGTTGGACTTCAGTATCTTCTTGTATACTGACAAGAGAGGAAGAATAACTCAGTCATTTAGGAATCATTTAATCATTTGTATTTACCTTATTTGTTACTGGGTAGAGTTATTACCGGGTAGAGTTATTACCAAAGTAATTACATAGAAACTATGTCATACGGGCAAGTCCTCTGAAATCAACCACAATTCTTCCCCCCCTGCACCTGCTTCAGTCTCCAAGGATGTTTTACTCACTGTCCATCTTGTTCTGAGTACGGATGTCGACCGGCTCCCCTCTCTTTATGTTGATCAGGAACATAGCAGCTTCCTCACGGTTGAAATGACCAAAGTCCACCCCATTCACCTACAACAAGACCATAGCCCATAAGTGGGTGAGTGTTGCATATACATGTACTGTATATACTGTAAATCAGCACTTAAGTGGTCATTAACACTTGTCCCAGAGAGCTACAGTGTGCACAGGCTTTTGCTTAAGCACAGCCTAAAAAAAAACAGAATCAACTCGATCAATATCTTAGTTGAATCAGCTGTGTTAGTGCTGGGCTGGAACAAAAGCCTGCACACCATGTGACTGCTACAGTGATCAGTGAATCTCACCTTCATTATCTGGTCCCCCTCCTTCATGCCTTGCTCATGGGCAGGACTGTTGGGCTGAACCCCCCCAACAAAGATGCCCACGTCATTACCCCCCACCAGCCTCAGGCCTACGCTGCCCTCCTTCACAAACGACACAGTGTTCAGATCGGAGCTGTATCTGAGAGAAGATAGTAAAGATCAAAAGGAGCATTGTCCAGTCATATTCAATAGACTATAGGATACCTAACAAATAAATAACTTATGGTGGTCTGCATTGTGAATGGGTTGTACATTTGTTCTATTTTACATTTTTTCTAAGGCTAAATGGGTATAAATAAATCAACTTACCCCAAGTTAGGCGTGGGGATGGAGTCTGGGGGTAAGGAGTAGATGGGTTCCTCTTTCTTGGCTGAAATGGAAATAACAGTTAAGACCTTCCATTCACAGAGTTACTAATACGTTATAATGAGGACATTGGAGAGCTGATATAAGAGAGTTGGTACTTACAGTAGACTGGAGGGTTGCTCTTCACTGATATCCCAAAGCCATTGGCTTTGCGTGGAATACTACAAGAGAAGAGATACCATTCACTGACATTTCCACAATAAGTGAGTTAGAGGTGGAAGTGTACACACACTTGTGATCAGATTGACTTGAATAGTGACATGACCTTTGTCACAGAGAACCTTTCTTGGAGGTGTGCATTCCTTTTGCTTATGGTGGTTTATTAAACTGTCCGTTCTTTACCTGGTTGTCTATAGTGCTTTCTAGAAGATACTGTAAACTAGTGTTTTACCTGTGGTTGCTCTCCACATCGGTACTCCCAGACCTCCTAGGAGGTGAGGGTGCACGATCCGACTCAGAGGAATCTGAAGAAAACAAAAACACAGAGGATGAGGATACAGACTTCCAAGCCCCAAGTTCCATCTTACTAGACTGTGCTCATCTTTCATAGGAGGGACACTGACCAGAGACTGGTCTGGTGGGGGTCATGCCTCGTCGAGGGGGGTCCTGTCTCACTACTGGAGCTGGAGAAGACCGCATCTCAGGCAGAGCTCTGAGAGAGTGAGAGAGAGAGAAAAAAATTACTCTCAATACAATGCCCTTAACTTGTCAACTACTATAGAAATCCTATAGTTAAATAATAGCTAATTGGAATGAAAGGTGTTATCAAGACTGTGACATTGATCGACTTCAAACAGCGTGTGATCTTAGCATGTAGAACTATGTACAGTTGAAGTCGGAAGTTTACATACACTTAGGTTGGTTGGAGTCATTAAAACTTGTTTTTCAACCACTCCACAAATGTCTTGTTAACAAACTATAGTTTTGGCAAGTCGGTTAGGACATCTACTTTGTGCATGACAAGTAATTTTTCCAACAATTGTTTACAGACAGATTATTTCACTTATAATTCACTGTGTCCCCCAGGGCTCAGTTCTAGGCCCTCTCCTATTCTCTCTATACACCAAGTCACTTGGCTCTGCCATATCCTCACATGGTCTCTCCTATCAATTTGTAAGTCGCTCTGGATAAGAGCGTCTGCTAAATGATGTAAATGTAAATGTAAATTCCAGTGGGTCAGAAGTTTACATACACTAAGTTGACTGTGCCTTTAAACAGCTTGGAAAATTCCAGAAAATGATGTCATGGCTTTAGAAGCTTCTGATAGGCTAATTGACATCATTTGAGTCAATTGGAGGTGTACCTGTGGATGTATTTCAAGGCCTACCTTCAAACTCAGTGCCTCTTTACTTGACATCATGGGAAAATCAAAAGAAATCAGCCAAGACCTCAGAAAAAAACATTGTAGACCTCCACAAGTCTGGTTCATCCTTGGGAGCAATTTCCAAACGCCTGAAGGTACCACGTTCATCTGTACAAACAACAGTATGCAACTATAAACACCATGGGACCACGCAGCCGTTATACCGCTCAGGAAGGAGACACGTTCTGTCTCCTAGAGATGAACGTACTTTGGTGCGAAAAGTGCAAATCAATCCCAGAACAACAGCAAAGGACCTTGTGAAGATGCTGGAGGAAACAGGTACAAAAGTATCTATATGCACAGTAAAACGAGTCCTATATCGACATAACCTGAAAGGCCGCTCAGCAAGGAAGAAGCCACTGCTCCAAAACCACCATAAAAAAGCAAGACTACGGTTTGCAACTGCACATGGGGACAAATATCGTACTTTTTGGAGAAATGTCCTCTGGTCTGATGAAACAGAAATAGAACTGTTTGGCCATAATGACCATCGTTATGTTTGGAGGAAAAAGGGGAGGCTTGCAAGCCGAAGAACACCATCCCAACCGTGAAGCACGGGGGTGGCAGTATCATGCTGTGGGGGTGCTTTGCTGCAGGAGGGACTGGTGCACTTCACAAAATAGATGGCATCATGAAGAAGTAAAATTATGTGGATATATTGAAGCAACATCTCAAGACATCAGTCAGGAAGTTAAAGTTTGGTCGCAAATGGGTCCAAGCATACTTCCAAAGTTGTGGCAAAATGGCTTAAGGACAACAAAGTCAAGGTATTGGAGTGGCCATCACAAAGCCCTGACCTCAATCCTATAGAAAATGTGTGGGCAGAACTGAAAAATCGTGTGCGAGCAAGGAGGCCTACAATGAATCCAAGATGGCGTAGTAATGTGGTTGTGTATTATGTTGTGTCCTCGTGTAAATAGCCTGTTTGTTTTTTCCCCGTATATATTTCTCTATCTCACTTCCCTTCCTTTAACCAAATATACTTTCCTGCAACCTGCCTCACCCAATGTGGAACAGATTCTATTATTTCTTTATTTTTATCAAGAACCTACGGCTGAAACTAGCCAGCTAACTAGCTACTTGCTATTAGCCACCGCTAGCGGTCTTCACCACTGTCTGTGGCCTGCATTACCTACCAGCCTGGACAATTATCGGTCTGCACAGCGTGCTATCGATCCAGAGCATTTTGGATTTTCTGCCGGAATCACTGAATCACTGGACCTTAACACCGGATCATCGCAACTAGCTAGCTGCAACCGAATGGCTGTTGTTGGCTAATTCACCACTGTCCCGATGCACCAGTTAGCCTTGAGCTAGCCTCGAGCCAGGCCCATCTCACGGCTATCTACCTCTCTGTCAACCGGACGGGACTTCCTAGTGTCGACACGGAGCCCCGCCGATCCATCACGACTGGTCTACCGACGTAATCGTCTGATGTGGTTTCAACAGGCTTCCCGTTGTGACGACCACAAAGGTCCATCTGCTAGCACCGGCCCGCTAGCACACCAGCCCGCAATCAACAGCCGTGCCTCCTGCTCGCCTGTGCTGTAGAAGCCTACAAACTGCTCCTGGACTTAGCTATTGCTGTTCACTGGACCTTATGATCACTCAGCTACACAGCTGATGCCTGCTGGACTGTTCCTTTACACGGTACCCCATCCTGTTTATCTGTTTAGCCTCAGCCCAAACTTTCGACGCCATTACCAGTTGTTGTCTTAGCCCTCTCGAATAACACCTGTGATTGCGTTATGCCTCTCTCCCATGTCAATATGCCTAGCCTATTGCTGTTTGGGCTAGTTCTTATTGTACTATTTCACTGTAGAACCTCCAGTCCCGCTCAACCAGCCTCAGAGAGCTCCTTTGTCCCATCCCCCATACACGCGGAGACCGACTCAATCGGTACCTCCAGTGATGCTTCGTCTTTCATCGTTACCCAATGCTTAGGTGTACCTCCACTGTACTCATATCCTTCCATATCCTTGTCTGTACATAATGCCCTGAATCTATTCTACAACGCCCGGAAATCTGCCCCTTTTATTCTATGTACCCAACGCACTAGAAGACCAGTTCTTAAAGCCTTTAGCCGTATCCTTATTCTATTCCTTCTCTGTTCCTATGGTGATGTAGAGGTTAACCCAGGCCCTGTAGCCCCCAGTATCACTCCTACTCCCCAGGCGCTATCATTTGTTGACTTCTGTAACCGTAAAAGCCTTGGATTCTTGCATGTCAACATCAGAAGCCTCCTCCCCAAGTTTGAGTTATTCATTGCGTTAGCACACTCTGCCAACACTGATGTTCTAGCAGTGTCTGAATCCTGGCTTAGGAAGGCCACCAAAAATTCAGAAATGTCCATCCCGAATTACAACATTTTCTGTTTAGATAGAACTGCCAAAGGGTGCGGAGATAGAGCCTGCAGAGCTCTATCATACTATCCAGGTCTGTGCCCAAACAGTTTGAGCATCTACTTCTAAAAATCCACCTTTCCAGAAATAAGTCTCTCACTGTTGCCGCTTGCTTCAGACCCCCCCTCAGCCCCCAGTTGTGCCCTGGATACCATATGTGAATTGCTTGCCCCCATTGTACTCCTGAGTGGCGCAGTGGTCTAAGGCACTGCATCGCAGTGCTAACTGTGCCACTAGAGATCCTGGTTCGAATCCAGGCTCTGTCGCAGCCGGCCGCGACCGGGAGACTCATGGGCGGCGCACAATTGGCCCAGCGTCGTCCAGGGTAGGGGAGGGAATGGCCGGCAGGGATGTAGCTCAGTTGATAGAGCATGGCGTTTGCAACGCCAGGGTTGTGGGTATGATTCCCACGGGGGGCCAGTACAAAAAAAAATATGTATTCACTAACTGTAAGTCGCTCTGGATAAGAGCGTCTGATAAATGACTAAAATGTAAATGTAAATGTATCCTCAGAGTTCGTACTGCTTGGTGACCTAAACTGGGATATGCTTAACACCCCGGCCATCCTACAATCTAAACTAGATGCCCTCAATCTCACACAAATTATCAAGGAACCTACCAGTTACAACCCTAAATCCGTAAACATGGGCACCCTCATAGATATCATCCTGACTAATTACCCTCTAAATACACCTCCGCTGTCTTCAACCAGGATCTCAGCGATCACTGCCTCATTGCCTGCGTCCGTAATGGGTCCGCGGTCAAACGACCACCCCTCATCACTGTCAAACGCTCCCTTCAGCGAGCAGGCCTTTCTAATTTGCATCCTGTAGCACTAACTCCAAAAGTTTTGGGACACTGTAAAGTCCATGGAGAATAAGAGCACCTCCTCCCAGCTACCCACTGCACTGAGGCTAGGAAACACTGTCACCACCGATAAATCTACGATAATCGAGAATTTCAATAAGCATTTTGCTACGGCTGGCCATGCTTTCCACCTGGCTACCCCTACCACGACCACCAGCTCTGCACCCTCCACTGCAACTTGCAGTGAATTTGTCGTAACCCCTATTACTAGGCTGTTCAACCTCTCTTTCGTATCGTCTGAGATCCCCAGAGATTGGAAAGCTGCCGCGGTCATCCCCCTCTTCAAAGGGGGTGACACTCTAGATCCAAACTGTTACAGACCTATATCCATCCTGCCCTTCGAAAGTATTTGAAAGCCAAGTTAACAAACAGATCACCGACCATTTCGAATCCCACCGTACCTTCTCCGCTATGCAATCTGGTTTCCGAGCTGGTCATGGGTGCACCTCAGCCACGCTCAAGGTCCTAAACGATATAATAACCGCAATCGATAAAAGACAGTACTGTGCAGCCGTCTTTATTGACCTGGCCAAGGCTTTTGACTCTGACAATCACCACATTCTCATTGGCAGACTAAATAGCCTTGGTTTCTCAAATGACTGCCTCGCCTGGTTCACCAACTACTTCTCAGATAGAGTTCAATGTGTCAAATCGGAGGGCCTGTTGTCTGGACCTCTGGCAGTCTCTATGGGGGTACCACAGGGTTCAATTCTCGGGACGACTCTATTCTCTGTGTATATCAATGATGTCGCTCTTGCTGCTGGTGACTCCCAGATCCACCTCTATGCAGACGACACCATTTTGTATACATCTGGCCCTTCATTGGACACTGTGTTAACAAACCTCCAAACGAGCTTCAATGCCATACAACACACCTTCCGTGGCCTCCAACTGCTCTTAAAGGCTAGTAAAACTAAATGCATGCTCTTCAATCGAACGCTGCTTGCACCCGCCCGCCCGACTAGAATCACTACTTTAGGCGGGTCTGACTTAGAATATGTGGACAACTACAAATACCTAGGTGTCTGGTTAGACCGTAAACTCTCCTTCCAGACTCACATTAAGCATCTCCAATCTAAAGTAAAATCTAGAATCGGCTTCCTATTTCGCAACAAAGCCTCCTTCACTCATGCTGCTAAACATGCCCTCGTAAAACTGACTATCCTACCGATCCTTGACTTTGGCGATGTCATTTACAAAATAGCTTCCAACTCTCTACTCAGCAAATTGGATGTAGTCTATCACAGTGCCATCCGTTTTGTCACCAAAGCCCCATATACTACCCACCATTGTGACCTGTACGCTCTCGTTGGCTGGCCATCACTACATATTCGTTGCCAAACCCACTGGCTCCAGGTCATCTATAAATCTCTTCTAGGCAAATCCCTGCCTTATCTTAGCTCATTGGTCACCATAGCAACAGCCACCCGTAGTATGCGTTCCAGCAGGTATATCTCACTGGTCATCCCCAAAACCGATCACTACACCTGTATACAGCCCATCTGTAATTAGCCCACCCAACTACCTCATCCCCATATTGTTATTTACATTGTTATTTATTTTGCTCATTTGCACCCCAATATCTCTATTTGCACATCATCTTCTGCACATCTATCACTCCAGTGTTAATACTAAATTGTAATTATTTTGCACTATGGCCTATTTATTGCCTTACCTCCATAACTTACTACATTTGCACACACTGTATATATATTTTCTATTGTGTTATTGACTGTACGTTTTGTTTACCCCATATGTAAATCTGTGTTTGTTGTTTTTAATCGCACTGCTTTTCTTTATCTTGGCCAGATCGCAGTTGTAAATGAGAACTTGTTCTCAACTGGCTTACCTGGTTAAATAAAGGTGGGGGAAAAAAGTAAAACCTGACTCAGTTACACCAGCTCTGTCAAGAGGAATGGGCCAAAATTCACCCAACTTATTGTGGGAAGCTTGTTGAAGGCTACCCAAAACGTTTGACCCAAGTTAAACAATTTAAAGTAAATGCTACCAAATACTAATTGTGTGTATGTAAACTTCTGACCCACTGGGAATGTATTGAAATAAATAAAAGCTGAAATAAAATCACTCTGCTATTATTCTGACATTTCACATTCTTAAAATAAAGTGGTGATCCTAACTGACCTAAGACAGGGAATTTTTACTAAGATTAAATGTCAGGAATTGTGAAAAACTGAGTTTAAATGTATTTGGCTAAGTTGTGTGTAAACTTCAACTGTATGTTAATGTGTCAGTGTTCAACCAGTTCCTTGTCCAAATAGACTAACCAGTCTAGCATCCTGGCTTCATCCTCAGAGCATCTTGTGCTCTGAAGCAGTCAGTTATTGAAACAGTTCTTAATCAACATGTATTTGTATCAATGTCTGTAGCTTGCCATTTTGCACTCAACTAAGTTTACGAATCGCAGTATTATATTGGTCAGTCTCATCACATTGTCCTGTTAAAGGGGTGGTGTGTTTGTCTGTCAGCCTTACCTGTAACTGTTCTTGGATCTCCGGGAACTGGAGCCGCCACTGTCTGCAGAGTCCCGTCGAGGTACGGATGCATAACTTGCCTCCGACTCTGATCCTGAGCGCCCTGGGGACATGGCCAGACACACACACAAATAGGTAAACACAAACAAATCACAAACATACCAAACATGAGCAATAATATAGGCATAAGTTACACATAAGTAATTGTCAATATGCACACAGTGCACCTTTAGCAGGGTTGCTCATTGTGACACTGGGGGCCTTCCACTTGGGGGGCTCCACTTGGGGCGCCACAGCTACCAAGGGAGTGGCTCTGGAATAGAAGAGGGAAGTTGGGAGTGAGGGAGGAGGAAGACAATATAACTCAGTTACAGTTGAAGTCGGAAGTTTACATACATTTAGGTTGGAGTCATTAAAACTTGTTTTTCAACCACTCCACAAATTTCTTGTTAACAAACTATAGTTTTGGCAAGTCGGTTAGGACATCTACTTTGTGCATGACACAAGTAATTGTTCCAACAATTGTTTACAGACAGATTATTTCACTTAATCACAATTCCAGTGGGTCAGAAGTTGACGGTGCCTTTAAACAGCTTGGAAAATTACAGAAGATGATGTCATGGCTTTAGAAGCTTCAGATAGGCTAATTGACATCACTTGAGTCAATTGGAGGGGTGCCTGTGGATGTATTTCAAGACCTACCTTCAAACTCAGTGCCTATTTTCTTGACATCATGGGAAAATCAAAAGAAATCAGCCAAGACCTCAGAAAAAAAATTGTAGACCTCCACAAGTCTGGTTCATCCTTGGGAGCAATTTCCAAACGCCTGAAGGTACCGCGTTCATCTGTACAAACAATAGTACGCAAGTATAAACACCATGGGACCACGCAACCATCATACCGCTCAGGAAGGAGACGCGTTCTGTCTCATAGAAATGAACGTACTTTGGTGCGAAAAGTGCAAATCAATCCCAGAACAACAGCAAAGGACCTTGTGAAGATGCTGGAGGAAACAGGTACAAAAGTATCTATAGCCACAGTAAAACGAGTCCTATATCGACAAAACCTGAAAGGCCGCTCAGCAAGGAAGAAGCCACTGCTCCAAAACTACCATAAAAAAAGCCAGAGTACGGTTTGCAACTGCACATGGGGACAAAGATCGTACTTTTTGGAGAAATGTCCTCTGGTCTGATGAAACAAAAATATAACTGTTTGGCCATAATGACCATCGTCATGTTTGGAGGAAAAAGGGGGTTGCTTGCAAGCCGAACAACATCATCCCAACCGTGAAGTTGTGGCAGCATCATGCTGTGGGGGTGCTTTGCTGCAGGAGGGACTGGTGCACTTCACAAAATAGATGGCATCATGAGGAAGGAAAATTATGTGGATATATTGAAGCAACATCTCAAGACATCAGTCAGGAAGTTAAAGCTTGGTCGCAAATGGGGCTTCCAAACGGACAATGACCCCAAGCATACTTCCAAAGTTGTGGCAAAATGGCTTAAGGACAACAAAGTCAAGGTATTGGAGTGGCCATCACAAAGCCCTGACCTCAATCCTATAGAAAATGTGTGGGCAGAACTGAAAATGCGTGTGCGAGCAAGGAGGCCTACAAACCTGACTCCAGCTCTGTCAGGAGGAATGGGCCAAAATTCACCCAACTTATTGTGGGAAGCTTGTGGAAGGCTACCCAAAGCGTTTGACCCAAGTTAAACAATTTAAAGGCAACGCTACCAAATACTAATTGAGTGTATGTAAACTTCTGAATGTGATTAAATAAATAAAAGCTTAAATAAATCATTCTCTCCACTATTATTCTGACATTTCACATTCTTAAAATAAAGTGGTGATCCTAACTGACCTAAGACAGGGAATTTTTACTAAGATTAAATGTCAGGAATTGTGAAAAACTGAGTTTAAATGTATTTGGCTAAGGTGTATGCAAACTTCCGACTTCAACTGTACGTGTGGAGAGGGGGACCCGTGGCTAAAAATAGATAATGATGAGAAGACTAATATATTCACCTCAGGACTTCTGGGGGAGCTGTCTCACATAGCAAGAACCTACTGGCTGATCACAGTGGGTGGTTAACAATTACAAGGATCATTGTGGCTTAAAATTTCAAAATGACATTTGACTTATTATCCATGCCATGGATGCTAACCCTAACTCATCCATGCATAGTTCCAAATGCATTTGAGATCATTTTCGATTTAGACCAATATAATGCTCATTCATTATCAGGCGTTCTATGTTTTTTGATCATGCTGCTGATTGCTTTGTAAGGGCCAGATTCAGCCACATATACAGTAGAGGGATGTGCTCAGTGGAAGTCGGTTTTATTTTATTGGCAACAAAAAACTCACAGTTAGCACAAGTACATCATGAATTATGGGGGTACAACGCAATAGTCAATTTCGACTAACAGACCAAAAATTCAAGAATCATAAAAACGTCAATAATAGCACAATACAGAATGGCTAGCGGAAGATGGAGGTGGGTGGCATGCATCGGTTGCTCAGTGCCCCAGTCCGGGTGCTCCTGCTGGAGCTTGGGGGGGGGGGGGGGGGGGGGTTGGATGGTAAGGGTGGGGTGGGCCTAATCAGTACCTGTATCTTCTCCGGGAGTCCTGGCTGTGGGGGGTGCCCTGTCTCTGGGGGGGCCCGGAGCTGCCATCCGACTCAGTCTCAGAGTCTGGGGAGAGAGCAGGGGTAATGCTCCAATTATGTGGCCCTTTCCACCTCCTTTGAATGCACTTACAATGTTCTGTCAAGGTGTTCCTGTTGTGGAAGTTGAGGTAAGGGGTGTAGTGGGTACTGACCTGAAGGTGGGGCTTTGACAGGAGAGGAGGCCCGTCGGGGGGGATCCTGACGAATTGTGATGGGGGAGGCGCTCAGTGTCCTAGGGTGGGGCAGGTCAGGGAGCACTCTGTATCTGGAGTGGTCCTCTGTGACTCGGGACCTCTCTCCTCTTCTGGGGGGTGGGGAGGCACTGCGGTCCGAGTCGGACTCTGACACCACTGCACAGAGAGAGAAACAGGGAAGGAGAGAGACAGAACATGTTATTATCTTCATTATCATGATCCACTCATCGAGAATGTGTCATTTGATGAGATTTCCCTATAGCCTATGTTGTGTGTTTACCTTTACGCGTTCGCAAGGCGGAGGAGGAGGGACGGGAAGGACGTGGGGCGGCCCATTCGAGGGCGGCAGGTGAGGCTTTGGGGTTGGGGAGGATGGACATCCCTGAAAGAGTTCTACAGCAAGAGAGAAACACACCTCAATGAAACACACAAACACAGATAACAAAATATCAAAACAACAGTGTCTGGTTTGAGGTTGAATCCACCTGTATTTGTCGGCTATGTCTGGGCTGTCCTTCCTGACAAGAGGGGGTGAGGCACTGCGGTCAGACTCTGACTCTGAGGGGGCTGGAGAGAAACAACACACAGTTCAAGCCAAGCACGACAGGGTACAGATTACACACGAGTGGGATGGGCCAATGTTTATGAAGGAGTTGAGAGACCCTTGTTCTCTGGACTGACCTCGGCGAGAGGGGTAGGCTTTAGCAGCAGGCCGGGACAGTGTCGACCGCACCGGGGACTGGTCACGAGACTTCGCTACTAGCGGAGGCGGCTCAGCTCTTCTGCAACAGGACAGAGAAAGTCTCGTCATACATAGGTAAAAAGGAGACTTGTCACTTAAGAAAATGTTGGATCAAGTACAGACATCTAAATAAGAAGGTAGAAGAAGTAGATCAGAATAGGTAAAACGAACATGTTTCAGGTGAGGTTACCTGCGTGAGCGTCGTTCTCTAGTGGCAGAGCGTGACACTCTGTTTCTAGGAGTGGGGATGTCTGTATCCAGGTCTGAAATATCTGAGGAGATCAGAGGAAAGCAATTAAAACACTGAGGAATCACATACTGGACCAGCTGGATCAACTTTTACTTTGCTTTTCAGGAGCTGCTTCTGACACTACATTCACAACTCTCATCAACCACTTTTCTCCTTCCCCCTCTTGTTTTCCCTTCTTTCCACCCTCCTCCCTCCAGTCCTGAGGTGCTGTGCTGATGCTACATTCTCTCACTCATACACTACTGTCACTACTGTCTTTCCCCCTCTCCCTCGCTCCCTCCCTCCCTCTCTCACCTTCCATTTCAGAGCTGCTGTTGCTGCGGCGGTCCTCCTCGCTGTTGGGGGCGCTGTCATCCACCTCGGGGATACTGACCAGGAACTTGCGGTCGTCTCTCAGGACCATCATGGTCAGCTTCCCCCGGGACTTCTCCACCAGGTGCTTGGTCTCCAGCAGGGACAGGTTCTCTGTTGTCATCCCATTGATCTGGAAATGAAGTAGAAAAACTTCAAAGTTCACAGAATGCAGAAATCTTCCTTTGGCTTAATACAATGACATTGACGAAAACTGACGTCATTAAAACACCAAGAACATTTGTCATCAAGAGTATTTTGGTTTATGGTCCCAGTATAGAATCATATCTATGTACAAAGCAAAGATGCAATGTTTTGTGATTAAATATCATATTGACCTTGAGAATGAGGTCTCCCTCCTGCAGAGTGCCCTCCTTGGCAGCCAGACCCGTCTCAGTCATGTGTTTGATGAAGATCTGGCTTCCCAACTTCAGTCCATACTCTGGAATGGGAAGAGAAAGTTAACATGAAATTGTTGTAACGGAGGCCTTGAATTCACTTGTCTATACAATCATGTCCAATCTGTGATTACGTTTTGAAACCTTTTGCTACAGCGTGGCCTAATGAACACGACCCAGATGTTGTTCATCCTTACCATCTGTGAGTTTCTTCTTCAGCAGGGTGGTTTTGATTGGCTTGTCTGGGAAGTCCTGGTGTGGCAGCCGTTTGTACCCCGACATGAGTGGCAGGGCGTGAGCGGTCCCGTTGCGATCGGGGGTAGTGCTACGGGCGCTGTAGCGGTCAGCGTTGCGGGCCTGGTCAGAGCCATCAGAGTAGCGTCGGGTCCTTCGTGGGGGGTCTTGGTCCAGCAGGTTGGAGTGAGAGGCGGCACGCAACGGTCTGGTGCTGGCTGGGAGCTGGATCTTACGAGGACGCTTCACTGTCTGAGAGAGAGAGAGAGAGACGGTTAAAAAAATGTATTACCTTTATTAATTTTTTAACAGTACAGTACATAAGGCTACTCACTACGTTGGCTGTTTTGCCAGATGACTTGAGGTTCTGAATGGTGAAGGTAGAGTAGACATTCTCCATGGACACTCCATTGACCATGACGATCTGATCTCTGACGCTGTTGGAGAGGTAAAACAAGGTAATCAAGCACTCCTAAGAATCAAAGACATGCAATGTTAAGTTTGTATGTGTTTGGTTGTGTGTGTGTGTGTGAGTTTACTGTATATACCCTCAAGTAAAACCCTTAGAGGCATGTGCTGTATGCCTGAAGGGTGTAGGGTGTTGGCGACTTACAACAGCCGTCCCATAGCGGGTCCGTTCCGCACCACATCTGAAACTATCACGGCTGTGCCCCCCGAGTCTGGGTTCGGCTTGTCTCTTCCCCCTGATATCGCAAAGCCAAACCCAATCTTGGAATCCTGCCATAGCAAGAGAGAGAGGGTGATAGGCGAGAAAGAGGGAGAGAGAGAGAGAGAAAAGTGAAAGAGAAAGAGCAGGTGAGGGAGAGATGGAAAAAGCAAGAGAAAAGGAGAGGGTGATAAAGAACAAGAGACGTAGGAAAGAGGTATGAGTGTGAGATAGGGAGAGAGAGCACATTCCATCAGCACTGAAGTGTGTCACCTGACCTGTACCAAGAGTTACAGGGAGTAGGGCTTGCCTTTGTTACTCTACATTTCCGCAGTTAGCCACTGAAATGGATAGTTTTGAAGTCCATTCCAATTGAAACGGTTCAGTATTTCTATCTGTACACCTTGAGTATGTCAAGTACTGTCTGTAACTACATTCTGTTGTGTTTTAGGTTCACATCAAAGTATATCATCAAATGCTGACAGACAAAACAACAAGAGAGACACTTACTTTGCTTAGTGTTATAGTATGCTGCTCCCATATCGTTAATTCCTCCATCTCTGGTTTCTGAAAAACAACATCGAACCTATTACAACATGTAAAACCAATCGCAAAGCACAGACCTTCTCCATTTACCATCAACAAACCATAACATGAATAAACCAGAGCAACTTAACCACAACAGAAGCAGCAGTTGTTTCATGTCCTTACATTGAGAGTTGGCAAGCCCCACAGTGTTGTTTGTGAGACTGAGGAGAGGAGTCGAAATGAGTCAACTGCAGCATGCTCTCACCTGTCTCATTCCATTCCTCTGACAGGTATGGGCGAGGGGCCACAGAGGGAGAGACGGGGGAGGGGCTACCAGAGGAGAGACGCAGCAGGCCGCCCCTTGCTGTGACATACGACACCAGGGTATTGTTCAATGGGGTGCAACGTTACAGAACACTGCAGGTAGAAACGCAATGTATAGCACTGACTAGATTACTTGTTCTCCATGGTTCTCTAGTCATGTGGAATAGAGAATTATGTCTGTGCTACACAATGTATTGCGTGCCTCATCCAATTGAACACGCCTCCAGATACAAACAGTCACGAACCGACGACAGTGCCACACTAACATACTGAACACATTCCACATACCATCTCATTTAAAAACTAAACAACATTGCAGGTCATATATCCATTAGTATCCTACTCCTACTACAGTACTAATTGCCTAAACTGGTCCAGCAAAATGGACTACCCTAAAGGACAAGAGAAGCATTGTAGAGATGTGTGAAACCATGCCACACACACACACACACACACACACAACAGATAGTTTATTCAAATGAATGTATTGGGACAAAGTAGGTTGTAAATTTAGTGTACACTACTGCAGAATACACATTTACAGCATCAAAAATTAAATGTCAACAGAAGACGACATTTACAACCAGTTCAGAAATTCTGTGTATGCTTGACCATCTGTCTGACTCAATAATATATATATATATATATAGTGAATTTTCCTACTACTATACATAGGTTTAATTACACAAACAGACATTGTTGCATTGAGATGATAACGGAATTATGCTGAGACTGATTTTTCACTTTAAAATGTATGCCAAACAAAAACCATTGATTTCAAAGTCTAAGAAACCACACAACTCTGTGCACAATGACTACTTTGAACAATTTATACAGTAAATCAATTACAAAAACATTTACTGGAAATATTGTGCAGATGCCAAGTTTGGTAACAGAATTATGGTAAAATCTCACTCAGTTTACTAAAATGTGTATCTGCACAGTTCTTCCTGTAAATGTGCTTTTGTAAAATGTTCTGTGGAAATTGTTAAAAGTAGTCCTTGTGCATAGAGTTTTATAGTTTGTTAAACTTTGAAATCAATAGTTTTTGTTAAGTATACATTTTAAAGTGAAAAATCTGAGTCTCTGCGTAATTCCGTTAACATGGAATTGCCCTTGTGTTAACTGTCCTACAGGGTCAGGACAAACACACAGGTCAGTGAAGGGTCAACAACGTGAGACTGACAGGGTCAGGTAGCCACTGAGGCGGACAAGCATCCTCAATAAATCACTAGCATTTTACCAATGGTTGAGTAGCAGGTGGAATATCTGCTATAGGTGGAATGTTTATGATAAAGAATTGGGGTAAGGGTTAACATTTAACCTAGTGTTATTTCTTACAACAGTCTAATTAACGTTAGACTGAAGGACTAGATATCAGCAGTTTCACAGCTCTTCAACTGTTCGATCACCTCATGATAAGCAAGGACTCCATCTTAGAAGCTCCTGGTCAAGACACAACGTCAATGAAATTACATGTTGGTTTATCTCTAAAAATGACACTATAGCAATATAGTTTTGATCATTTTGATCATGGGTTAAGTCTATTATTGTAATAGAGATAAATTAATAAAGAGGATATAGTTGACATGCATCCTCCGGGGGATACCTTTCATCCGCGTTGAGAGGTCGAGGGAACTGCCAGTATGCAAATATCATTGATGCTATCATTGTCCTGTCTAGTCAGGGACACTATTCCTGAAAACATGTCTGTCTCTATGACTACATCATTAACAAAGAAGGGTAGTGAACAAGCATTCATTAGTGTATTTTGCTTTGGATTCTGACAATCAACAATCTTGGCTTTGGTTGCTGAAACTCACTTGTGCCCAAAATAATATTAATAGGTTACATGATGCAGTCATTATCAAGAACTCTACACATATTTGCCCAACTTCCTGCATAATCCCACTTGACAATTACTACAGTATATGTATACTTTAACAGCCAAAAGGTCACCAGCACAGGAGAACACTTTGTGTAACAGAATTGGAAAGGGCAGACCCAGTTAATGCCACCCTATAACCAGTGTGCTGGCCTTGAAGAATCAATCAAGCCTTTCCCTGACCACCAAGTGTATTCATCCCCTACCTGGCTATTCCAGGGGAGATGCTCTATGTTAGAAATAACCCTTACCTACTGACCCTCAGCGAGGCCAATAACAACCGGATGCCTCCGGTTTTCAGGGGAAATGGAAAGAGAGCCTGTGATGCAACTTCTGCTTTTGTACATCACAAGGTGACACTCCATCTTAACTCCTCCTTCACATTTACTGGACTGGTTGAACAGTGCAGAAGAGAACCTCCCGACAGTTTTTTTTCTCTCGTCAGGACCAGAAAGAGGCGTTTATTTTACGCCTGCTACATTACGTTATTACCTACTAGACTGATGATATTAAGGGAGGCTAGCCAGCCATAACAAGGTTAACTCTATCAGACATAGGAAGTAGATAGAGAAATGATTAGCTTGGAGAGTGAAAGTAAAAAGGTAACACAATAAAGCCTACATGACAAGATCAAAAGCCACACTTTCTTAAAAAGGAAGCAACACAATCCTCAGGTACTTTCCTGCCTTTCATAAAATACAATAAAAGCTGTTTGTCTTTTTTACTCACCACTTCTTCTCTGAACCTCACTTCCATTCCCCACTGGGAGTTGAGCCTAGCAACACACACCTGTGGGTTCCTCTCCTCTACTCCACTCAAAAACACCTTCGTTTTTATTCCATGTCATAATCCATGTTGGGGGCCAAGAAATTAAAGACCCTGTGCTTCAAATCAAATACATTTGGATTATCAATAGTTAAATGGGTCCTGACCACTATAGCTTTGTGGGTGAAAAACACCTTGCAGAAACAAACCCCACCTGGAACAATAAGAGGCTCCTCCCCTCTGCCTCTCCCAGCACTTTCTATTCCCCTTTGTTGCCAGGGATTTAAGGCGGAACCAATTTTGCCAGTGTGAAACCCATATAGTCCCAGGTGGAAAAGATGAAACACCTTAAGAGGTTTAGATGGAAAATATGAAGACAAATATTACAGTATGTGAGTCACTGTAGTCCAGTCATCAGATAAACAGTTGTGAAACTTAAACAAGACTTAATAACAGACTCATTTAGAGACACATCATATTACTAAAGGGGAGTTACAACCAGGAAACTCACATTGCTTGATCATATCGGTACATACAGTTGAAGTCTGAAGTTTACATACACTTAGGTTGGAGTCATTAAAACTTGTGTTTTTCAACCACTCCACTAATTTCTTGTTAACAAACTATAGTTTTGGCAAGTCGGTTAGGACAACTACTTTGTGCATGACACAAGTAATTGTTCCAACAATTGTTTACAGACAGATTATTTCACTTATAATTCACTGTCTCACAATTCCAGTGGGTCAGAAGTTTACATACACTAAGTTGACTGTGCCTTTAAACAGCTTGGAAAATTCCAGAAAATGATGTAATGGCTTTAGAAGCTTCTGATAGGCTAATTGACTTCATTCGAGTCAATTGGAGGTGTACCTGTGGATGTATTTCAAGGCCTACCTTCAAACTCAGTGCCTCTTTGCTTGACATCATGGGAAAATCAAAATAAATCAGCCAAGACCTCAGAAAAAACATTGTAGACCTCCACAAGTCTGGTTCATCCTTGGGAGCAATTTCCAAACGCCTGAAGGTACCAAGTTCATCTGTACAAACAATAGTACGCAACTATAAACACCATGGGACCATGCAGCCGTTATACCGCTCAGGAAGGAGACGCGTTCTGTCTCTTAGAGATGAACGTACTTTGGTGTGAAAAGTGCAAATCAATCCCAGAACAACAGCAAAGGACCTTGTGAAGATGCTGGAGGAAACAGGTATAAAAGTATCTATATCCACAGTAAAACGAGTCCTATATCGACATAACCTGAAAAGGCCGCTCAGCAAGGAAGAGGCCACTGCTCCAAAACCACCATAAAAAAGCAAGACTACGGTTTGCAACTGCACATGGGGACAAAGATCGTACTTTTTGGAGAAATGTCCTCTGTTCTGATGAAACAGAAATATAATTGTTTGGCCATTATGACCATCGTTTTGTTTAGAGGAAAAAGGGGGTTGCTTGCAAGCCGAAGAGGGGGTGGCAGCATCATGCTGTGGGGATGCTTTGCTGCAGGAGGGACTGGTGCACTTCACAAAATAGATGGAATGATGAGGAAGGAAAATTATGTGGATATATTGAAGCAAAATCTCAACCTCTGTAGCTCAGCTGGTAGAGCACGGCGCTTGTAACGCCAAGGTAGTGGGTTCGATCCCCGGGACCACCCATACACAAAAAAAAATTATGCACGCATGACTAAGTCGCTTTGGATAAAAGCGTCTGCTAAATGGCATATTATTATTATTATACATCAGTCAGGAAGTTAAAGCTTGGTCGCAAATGGGTCTTCCAAATGGACAATGACCCCAAGCATACTTCCAAAGTTGTGGCAAAATGGCTTAAGGAATAAAGTCAAGGTATTGGAGTGGCCATCACAAAGCCCTGACCTCAATCCTATAGAAAATGTGTGGGCAGAACTGAAAAAGTGTGTGCGAGCAAGGAGGCCTACAAACCTGACTCAATTACCCCAGCTCTATCAGGAGGAATGGGCCAAAATTCACCCAACTTATTGTGGGAAGCTTGTGGAAGGCTACCCGAAACATTTGACCCAAGTTAAACAATTTAAAGGCAATGCTACCAAATACTAATTGAGTGTATGTAAACTTCTGACCCACTTGGAATGTGATGAAAGAAATAAACGCTGAAATAAATCATTCTCTCTACTATTATTCTGACATTTCACATTCTTAAAATAAAGTGGTGATCCTAACTGACCTAAGACAGGGAATTTTTACTAGGATTAAATGTCAGGAATTGTGAAAAACGGAGTTTAAATGTATTTGGCTAAGGTGTATGCAAACTTCCGACTTCAACTGTAAGCCTTTAAGCACTTCCCCACCCTAATGGTTAGCTTACATGGTGGTGACACTGATGGTACACCACACTATAACCAGTCAAAAAGAGATTTAGCAATTTCACAGAGGATTTTAGCTACTCAAACAAGCTTTGAGTAACAGATACAAGATACAAGGAAACCCCTGGCGAGAGAGACCACTTACCGGTGGTGTCACCGATTAACTGACCAGTTTCAGCGCCTGTTTCAGATTCATGACAAAACAGCAACGTCCTGTTTGGTTTCAACAACAACCGGCTGACAGAATATGACTGAGTCACCTCTGGCCATCCAGCTGACACACTGGACCTGTACTAAGCACATGGTTGTCTGTCCCTGTGAGCTGTACACCTTATCTAAGCAAGTCACCGTCTGATACCCCCCAGTCCCCATACTGTCCAGGTGACATGGTAGAGACAGAGGCACTCTCCAAATGACACCTAGCCTCTTCCTGTTTGCAAAAGCTATTTCATAATCATATATCCAATGTTGCTGATATAGGCCTATGCACTGAGGAAGGATATTCCCATTCTGGCCTGAGCTCAGTCAGGTACTACTTTCCCATGGAAGGTTATGGGGCTGGATTAGTCAAGCCTGGCACTATGGTTACCAGAGGGTATGAGTACACTGGGCTATTAATAATTGAAAGGGTGTTTACTTCACCAAAGGCCCTGGCAAAGGTCTCTCTATATAGACCATGGTCACTGTGCTTTGTTATGAGGAAGTATGAGAGTTGAGTCTCTACATATTAAATATGTATGCATGTTAAGCACAGGAGTTTTCTGGCTGGCTTTTTAAAAATGTATTTCTGCCTATCTCCCCTATTTGCTTGGGAGGGGGAGTAAGGGGTTAAATAGAGATTTGTCATTTGAAGGCCTTCAGAGGTAAATTGCAGGACCAAGGAGGCATTCTCTGTATTGTGAGACTTGGGTAGTAATAAGTAAGTAGGAACAGAAGAGCTGCATAGCCTCACAGTTTTTACTCTGCTTACTGGAACTACTGGCCTTTGGACAGTCACAACACAGACCCTTACTGAATCATTAATAGACCCGAGGAAAATAGAGGTAGAGTTAAAAAAAACACTTGAGTAGTATTCCTGAAGAGGCCTGTAAAAAAAGCAAACACCTCTTAAGAATAGGCGTGCTTCTACAGCAAGTAAACAATCACTCACACTCAGAGACTTCAGTCAGTAGGCCCCAGCTGCACTAGGTTAGCACGCAGGGGCAAATACATGTCATGTTCCTAGCAGAGCAAATATTGTACTTCTCAAGTTTACATCAACCTAACAAACTACGGTTGCTCTACTACTCGGACACTTGCTTTCAGTGCAAGTGAGTGTTGCTGAGCTAGGCCTAATGTTTTACTACATTAGGCCTAGTTCCACCACAATGTATAGCCGGAATTCTTCACAGTACACTGCCCAAGCATGCCAAGAATCTTCATATATTTTGGAATGTGAAAGAAAACACTGATTGGGCCCCATTTATGAAGACTCATTGTAATTTCGGTGCACATTGCTCCTAAAACCACCTTAGATGAGCGGTTTGGTCAAGAGTTCAACACAAAACGAACAAAATCCCTATCATAAATGAAGAACAGAAGTAAAAGAGGATGCTATGCAATGTAAAATGGTGGTTTGCAGAGTCAGAACCCACAGTGTAATTACAGCGGGCTTACAATCTCAGTTGAACTGCTCTGAAGATCGATTACGTAGGCTACCACTGACAATTAACATTGTTTGCAGAATATATACACTACATGACCAATAGTATGTGGACACCTGCTCGTCAAACATCTCATTCCAAAATCATGGGCATTAATATGGAGTTGGTTCCCCCTTTGCTGCTATAACAGCCTCCACTCTTCTGGGAAGGCTTTCCACTAGATGTTGGAACATTGCTGTGGGGACTTGCTTCCATTCAGCCACAAGAGCATTAGTGAGGTCGGACACGGATGTTGGGCGATTAGGCCTGGCTCTCAGTCGGCATTCCAATTAATCCCAAAGGTGTTCGATGGGGTTGAGTCTGTCAAGTTCTTCCACACAGATCTCGACAAACCATCTCGCTTTGTGCACGGGGGCATTGTCATGCTGAAACAGGAAAGGACCTTCCCCAAACTGTTGCCACAAAGTTGGAAGCACAGAATTGTCTAGAATGGCATTGTATGCTGTAGCGTTAAGATTTCCCTTCACTGGAACTAAGGGGCCTAGCCCGAACCATGAAAAACAGCCACAGACCATTATTTCTCATTCACCAAACTTTACAGTTGGCACTATGGATTGGGGCAGGTAGCGTTCTCCTGGCATCCACCAAACCCAGATTTGTCTGTCGGACTGCCAGATGGTGAAGCGACATTCATCGTTCCAGAGAACGAGCTTCCACTGCTCCAGAGTCCAATGGTGGCGTGCTTTACACCACTCCAGCCGACGCTTGGCATTGTGCATGGTGATCTTAAGCCTGTGTGCGGCTGCTCGACCATGGAAACCCATTTCATGAAGCTCCCGACGAACAGTTCTTGTGCTGACGTTGCATCCAGAGGCAGTTTGGAATTCAGTAGTGAGTGTTGCAACCGAGGACAGACGATTTTTAAATGCTACACGCTTCAGCACTCCGCGGTCCCGTTCTGTGAGCTTGTGTGGCCTACCACTTCGCGGCTGAGCCGTTCTTGCTCCTAGACGTTATCGCTTCACAATAACAGCACTTACAGCTGACCGGGGAAGCTCTAGCAGGGCAGAAATTTGATGAACTGACTTGTTGGAAAGGTGGCATCCTATGACGGTGCCACGTTGAAAGTCACTGAGCTCTTCAGTAAGGCCATTCTACTGCCATTGTTTGTCTATGGAGATTGCTTGGCGGTGTGCTCGATTTTATACACCTGTCAGCAACAGGTG